CCTACTTGACGAAGTTTGTTGTCATCCCCCTCCGCAAGAGGCCTGGAAAAGAATTGTCAAAAGCTTGGGATGGAGATTTGGTCAAGTGTTACTGCATTTCTCTCAAGTAACGGTTAAATTTGCGACGACTTTACTAATGGCACCTTCTTTACGAACGCTTGATATCAAACATGAAGATTTTATTTTGGATGCTGTTGATATCGTCTTATCGCCGGAGAACTTGGCCAATACTTTGTTGGAATTCCGTCGTACTTTGTCGCGCATGTGGAGACTTCGGTGGGATAACGAGCATAAAGAAGCCTTTTGGAGGCTGGCTCTTGATGGTTTCCCTGCCTTTCCTATGCATAGGGCGCAACGTCAAAGAGGTATCCCGGCTGCTATGTGCCCCTGTGGTGTACGCATGTCGTCGGCATCATTTCTGGGATTGTACTGTCGCGTTGGCTCTTCGTGAAGCTCTGCAAAACGAACTTGAGTTCCCTGACCTTTTCAACCGGGCTAACCTGTGGTTGGGCATTCCACCAACCTGGATTTGTTCGTGTGTATGGGAGGTTGTATGCCTCGCGGCCATCAGCTCACTCAATCTCGGTCGCCGTTTGTTGTTTAAGGAAGGTCTCCAGACCAACATGCCTATATCAACGCCATCGCTTAACCGCATTACATACGAGGTTATCTCTGACTTTTGGGCCCGTTTAACTGCTTTTGCGGCACGGGATTACTTGCCAAAACATTGGGATCATGTACCTCACAATCACCCTTTCTTATATGTCAATGACGCAGACATGGTTGCTTGCCGTTTACCGATATACAATGACGAAGTTTGAGGGCGCACGTCGGAGCCTCAATTTTTTGTTTAAGCGTACTAACTGAGGCCGTGTGTCCAGTGAAGTTAGTACGGCCTGGCCGAGTTCTTTTTGAATAAGGCCCACAGTGTTGTGCGGGAGGCGTTCCTATGGGCGCTGCACTCGACCCGTTCGGGGTCCACTGTAACAATCGCATCTCAAGGGCTGCCAATTCGCCTATAAGCACCATCCTACCTCGCACTTCCAACGAAACAAGTAATGAAGGATACTAACGACCAAAGGGAACGATAGAATTGCGGTGGGACCATATGAGTTCCAGCATCCTTGCCAGGCGTTCAGGTTCCCACTTCATAGCGTCCTTCATATGCTCGAAGCGTGGGAAACCCATATCAGATCTGATTTTGTTGTACACCGAACAGTCCATCAAAATGTGCTGCTCGTCCTCGATATGGCTATCGGTGCCGCAGCAAGGGCATACTCGCTCCTCCCTAGGTATATATCGCCGTCCCTTACGCGCTCTGTTAGCCGCCAATGCCCAACAGCAAAGCCTAAACTGCATAAGCTTGCGGTTCGCTGAACGCAGGATAAACATTGCGATGTGCGGGAGCACCTCCTTCCTGCTCGCTTGCTCAGCCGCCAGACCCATCCAATGCTTATACTTCGCCATGTGAATTCCTGGCTGCTTGCCGTCTGACGGGTACACGTCAGGCTGGACATCTAAACGCGTACCGTAGCGCTACTTATAGATCGTGATCGCTTTGTTCGGGGAGGGGTCAAAAAACTTTCTGAACTTTCTGAACTTTCTGAAATTTGTACGTGCTCTTTGAATTTCGGGGAAGGCCGGACCAGATTTTGCGGGCATGATACAAATTTCGGGGCCCCTTCCAAAGTTTCGGGGCTTTTCAAACTGCAGCTTCCAGTCAGTCTCCCTCCACCGGGAACCCTTAGGCTCATGGTCTCTCACCATTTTCGCACTTTGAAAACGCCCTAGCAAATTCTGGACCGATCGTACAGTTCAGTACCAGTGGCAACGACCTAATAATGGTTAACCCGCGGATTTGTTGAAGGGGACGTCCAACAGGTCGAATGCCAGGCTGCGGCGTGAGCGCAAGCCTCGCCTCGCCGGCTGCCGTAGCATTGACCGCATTGCGCTCGCGCCTAGCAACCTCCTCGTGCTCCATTCGCTCACGCTGGGCCTCGACAACAGCATCATCAAGCCTAACTGGTGCAAATCCAGCTCGGTCCCTCACCGGAGCGTTTGGTGCTAGCGGTTTCATCCCGCATTGAAGCAGGGTTGCCTGTCTTGCGCGTTTTCCAGCGTTGTTCATGTCCTACGTTTATGACTATATTTTATGTATTTAAGAGCTGATTTCCGCCTTGAAATCCTAGTTTTTGCGAAGTTTGATCGACCGGCTTCGGAGGGTACGATATTTCGGGGCTGCGGTCCCTTGGGATACCTTAGAATTTGTACGTGCTACATATTCGTGGTGCCTCCCGAATTATTGTAGCACGAACTATAAGTAGCACTACGGTATGCTTCCAACCACTCGCTAATCGGTCCTTGAACTCCAAAACCACACCTTCTGGCATTGGCCTGTTCATCAGCCACTCCACTCGTTCGTCTACCTCGTGTAGCCCTTGCGGGGCCTCTTTCCATACGTTGTGCCCCAAAAAACATAGAAAACGGAGGAGTAGTGTCCCCCATCCGGGCCCTTCGGGGTTGGAGAGGGACTCTGCGACCTCCTGTCGTAAAACTTGGTGTGCCACAGACCCACGCTGTAAACGGACATGGTTCCAAAACCTCACAACCTGCTTGAGAACGTGGTAGTGTAGGGGTAGCTGCGACAGCTCTGCAAACAGGAAGCGGTGTGTTGGTCTGGCAGCTCCTACAATTTGTCGCATGAAAGATATCTGAAGCTGCACTGCTCTGTCCTTTAGGCATGCCTCGAAGGGCCCCTCTGCAAGGTTACTCGCATCAATCCGCCTCCTGCGCCTGTCCAAGACCTCAGCTAGCATAAACGGGCCCCACGCTTGACTACCATACAACAGTATTGCTCGTACCTGCGTATCGAAACACCTCATCCTCACATCTGGGACGAACAACTTTAGCTTATCTAATTTTGCACTCAACGGTTTTGCTGCTGTTGTGGTACTAATAGCCGAATCGAGGATGAAAAACACGTGTTATTGGAATGCCCGACCTATAATGATAATCGTGCTGAAGAGGGATTCGATCATCAACAGAGCATATTGGAGGCCATGAAATGGGAACCAGCACGTCTGGCGAGGATGTTGGAAAGTATGTGGGCTCACCGAAACTCAATTACTCCCTTTGGACACTAGTCTGGGCTGATGTGCGGTGTTTTCCTTTCCTCCGTGGCTTTTAAGCGTTGTAGTACTGCCCTTGGGCCTTTGGCTCGTATGGGTAGTCTTACAGGTATGGGGTCACACACACCCAACCATGTAACACACACACACACAACAACGCATCCAAACGCACAGCCCAACTCATCCATCAATGGGCTCGGCAACGGCTGGATATCATCTGCCTCCAAGAAACACAGGTAATGGTGAACCGTGTGTCTCATGCATGAACTCCACATGATACTCCACAACCTTATCTCAGGCTTATCTCGGGCGCTCCACCTGGGCAAGTGGGTATCCTGGTGGGACCCCGTGTTGGATAGTCGGCATGGAGGCAGAACAGCAATTCTTATACGTAGCATGCTACTCACCAGCAGGGCTTTAACCTTCCCGGGGGTGCAGGCCCAGCCTACGGTGTCAGGAGACGGTCATCTTTTGCACTTACCCTTATGCTGGGAAGACCATACCTTTACTTAAATCAGTGCTTACCTTCCTAGTGCTGATCCCCCAGCCCAAAGGGCGTTTATTCAGCAACGTCTCTGGCCTCTTATGGTGGATCTGGGCAGCTGACTTTAACTTTGTCAACAATCCTGACATCGATGCATCCACTCCGTCGGCAAGGAGGAATGATGTCAACACCACTTCAGAGTTTAACATTACATGTCCGGGGATGATTGACACGTTCCGCCTAATCCAACCCTGCCGGCATGCTTACACATCCATCCATCCAGCGGGAGCCTCCCGTATTGATCGCATAATGGTATCACAAGCCCTGGAGGTGGCCGTCTATGGCAGCAATACAGCCCCGGGGACTCCGGCGGATCACCGGATCACCCACACTACCCTCCGGGCAGCCCATAGCATGCACACACCAGGACCTGGCCTGCCCCGTACTAGGCTTCACTTCCTGGACCACGATGATCTGTGTGCAGACTTAAATATGTGGGTACATAACACGGCAGAATCAGGCCCCACGGACCCGGACGACCTCATTCCCCCCGAGCTCCTCTGGTCGTTTGTCTAGAAGCAATAGCCTGTCAGATTTGCCACCTTCTTGCAGCATCTGACTCTCTTCTTCTTAAAGAACAATATTGCGCTCCACCTCATTGAGCATGTTGACCTCGTGAAGGCAATTGGCATTAAGCTTTAAAGCCGCCAGGTGCTCAGCGGCAGTATTTTGGATGAGGTTCATGCCGAGGTCCATACCAAAATGGACAGTTAATGAAATGTTACACCATGACGGACTGACTGACTGACAGCAGTGAACCTAGGGGGCTCGGCCCCCCGAATGGCGCTTCGCGTCCGGGGCCTCGCCCAAAAAGTTATGGAAATTTCCCTTTCCATTGGCCGTTCGGCAACTTCTCGCACGGGGCCTTTCGCGCTGCAAATATTACATACACACATTCCTTTACATATGTATCATCAGTTGGTGCAAGAAATCTCAAGAAAGGAGATGTGGCTGGCCCGGCCGGCCCCAAGGAAAATATACGAAATTTTACGACCAGCCAATGGAAAGACCCTCGATGTCAAGTGCGCTCAGTGGATTTGCGACCTTCACATTAAACTGGTTCTGGTCCGTGCACATGGTCAGCAAGTACCCCGCCATGACGTATGTGGCCAACCGCGTGCAACGCATGCACGCGACGGCCGGCACCTCTGAGCGCCACTGCTCGCTGTGGGGCAACCTGTTCCACAAGTGTCCCACAACCGGCTGGGCCAGGAGCGCCTAAGGCTCTTCTTGTGCCGTTATGAGGATGCAGACATGGTTGTTTGCTTTTCTTCCTGCATGCATGTGTCTCCTCGGACTGGGTGTGATGTGCAAGCGTACAAGATGCGTTATGCCACGCTGCTCCACATGTCGACATACGACCAGGGTGGGTAAAGCACATAAAGACTGCCAGGATTTAGGATAGACTTTTCCGTTCGTTGCTGTAATATCATAAACTTCTTAACTGCATGCTGTGCGACAGGAAAAGCAGGCTTCAGGCGTGTCTAGGTGATGCTGGACCCATGGGTCCATGCGTCCCCGAGCAGCTGCTTACAGATTACAGCCCATGCAGAGCCCCGCCGTCCCAAGTACTGCTTACATTAGAATATATTAACTACAAGGAACACAATTACCAAGTTTATGAAGATTGATGAAGTTTTCGAGAAGTAGCCAAATCTTTAGATGAGATTCTCAAACAATCTAATTAGAACTAATTGGGTCTAATTAGATTGAGATGAGACTTTTTCCATCTAAACCTTTGGGCTACCCTACCGGTAAACGGACACATACTCTCATAGCCCACGGAAGCAACTTGAGCTTTAATCACACGGAAGATATACAGACAAAACGACAACGGCACCTAAACGAACACCCAAATCGGTTGAAACACCTGGAGCCAGAAACACCAAAAGGATGAAATGATACATAAATATGACCATGTTCGAGCGGGTTGCTGCAGCAACATTCAATCATCTTCATACTTAAGGAACAGCAGCATAAACAGCATCGTTCCGCATCTGACTATCAGGATCTCCCGAGCAACCGCTGAGACTACTTGAAAGGGATAGGATTTGGCAAACATGAGCTTTGAGTCTAACAATAGCCGATTTGCCGGCATAGGGAAACAGCTACTAGTTGACGAGTAAACTCCAACTGGTGGCCAAATAATATAATAAGTAGGTATGTATACACACATAACCAAGTTGTAACTCTTGTAACTCATAACCAAATGTTGGTTCATTGCACATATTTACCATACGAGATACCCTAATCGCGACAGGGGAGGGTGCGCACTGTAAGGCGGCTACCCAGGCGCATGGGGTAAACGAACAAACGAGCGTATGTAGCATCGTGTCGTGCATGTGTGGATGTAGCGGGCGAGAACATACGCGGTTGTAACAGCGGTATTCCACATAAAAAATACTAATAACAGACGAATGCCCATGCCCATGCTTGCCCGTATGTCTATACGTGTGCGAATAATGATATGTACATTCTACAGGGCTAGGGGGGTGATGAGTGCTTACGGAAGGAGGCATTGCTCCGGTCAGTTTCATGCACAGCGAGATGCGCACATTTCCGGTTGGAAGCCGGTGCCCTACATCCACATTCTCCGTCAAAATAGATATCTGCTTAATGACTGCTGCTGCTTTGCGATATGAAATATTAATAATAATGAGAAACGCTGGCCGTGGGCGTTTCGTGTATTAAGGGGGTGGGTAACTGAGGAGCGATTTGGCCCCTGTCTGTATGTACGTATATACGTATATATGTCCCTTAGCACCCCCGGGTTGCTGCCGGCGCACACTCGACCACGCAGCACGCAAGGTTTCGGGACTAAATCCAGCTTCGTCCTCTGAACAACTCAGCATGTGAGGCACCGACGCTCTGTCATCATCACCATCACCAAGCCACGAAACGTTGTCGCGTTATTTGTCTCCTAGTTGCACCCGCCGCGCGGGGTGCTGGTCCTCCTCGCTGTCTCTCCCCTGACAGAGCTGAGTCCCTCGCGGGTTGCCCCACGGCTCCAGCAGCTGCCGAACCCTTCCATTTGCCGCCGCCAATGCCGTCGCCGTCGCCGTCACCGTCGCCGTCGCCGCCACCATTGCCGATGATGCCGCTACTGCTGCCCTGCTGCTGCTGCTGCTGTCCGCTGGCGCCCGAAGGTCCTGAAGGGATTGCGGGTAGCAGTCCCGGTATGGTAAATACTGCCACCTGCGCAGCCAGCGTCCCCGGCGCTGCAAGCCGCCCGCTAACGGCTATATGCATCAGCAGGCAGCGGTAGGCCAACAATGGCTGGCTGCTGCTGCTGCTGCTGCTTATGGGGTGCGGTCACCCCTGATGGCGTTGCTGTTTGGTTTGGGGTATCAGAACCCACTGGGGGCTTCCACAGATAGGTGTTCATGATGCCCTTGCCCTTCACCTTTGGGGTCGTTGGGGGTTGAGAACGTTGGGGGTTCGGGGCCGGTCAGGACACATCAGTGTAGTCAGCGCAGGTGTATGTCAAATCAGAGAGACATACAGTGAAACCTGTGTGGCTCGCAGTGATAGGCAGCTACACGCACAACGTTAACCTATATACATATACCATGCACACATGCATCCTTCATAGTCTGATGCATCTGAAACCCGACAGAAAGCCCCTGCATGTGCTATGTATGCTGGGCACTCCACATGCTCCACGTGCTGTATGTAGGCATTCATGTTGCACTGAGTCATGCCCTCCAGGTCGATATCCTTTACGAACCGCGGTTTAATTGCACTCCAGCCCCACTCCCCCACCCACCCACTCCGCAGACAGGCAGGTTGGCACCTAGGCTTGTAGACGGGAGCTGGCGAAGGTGAGCGCGGGGATGTGGTGCGAGGAGTGGTCGTGTGGATGCGAAACACCATGTTATGGAACCCCGGCATTCGTCCTACCCGCCGTCCCGCCCTCCCTCCCTCGACCTCCGCCCCTTTTAAATCCATCCTCACCTCAACGCCGCCCGTGGGCACCCAGCATTCGTTTCTAAGCAGCCTCCAAGCCGCCTCTGAGGCGTGGATGGCCCCCGGCACACCCGTGCTCTCCATGCGGGAGGTGCTGTAACGCGGTGGGAGGGCAGGGGGCAAGGTAGGAGGGTAGGCAGGTGGCCACGCAGGCACTCGAGACAGCCTGACAGGCAGTCAGGTGACGGAATGACCAGACACGCGACGCTAGGACGACCCATAGGAAATGGTTCACGTAGAGGACTAGAGGACAAGCAACACGAATAGCCTCCCGCTTCATAAGCTTCATGGGCGTGGTGGCGAGGCAGAGACGCGAGCGCGCGGGAGCAGTATCGCCCCCGGAGACTCTCCCACCCAGACCACCAAAAGTAGACTGAAGTACACATGTATTACAATGATGCCGGCGAACACCCAACCACGTAAACACCGACTACGGATGCAAGATACGGAAGAACGTCGCCTAGTGGAAACGCTCGGCTCGGGCCCTGTCAGGAGTTCAATACCTAAGTTAACTTATCAATCCTTGATTGATGTGAGGACGTGGATAAGGCCCTAAAGCCCCGGGGGGAGCATACGATCTGTACAAAAGGGCATTTCGCAGACACCGTTCTAACCACCCTTAACTCCGTTCGGGACCCCATCCCGATCCCATCCCAACCCTTTCAGCCCGCTAAGTGATCTTCCCTTTCACTTCCCGCACCCAACAACCCCCATACGGCATACCACCACGTGCACCGCAAGTCAACCCCCCACGAGCTCACGTATTCACTGTATCGCCTGTGTCGCATGCAGATGTGTACCAGGTAGGCAGGTAAGAAGGTGGCCATGCAGAGGCAGGCAAACAGGGAGATAGGTAAGTAGGCACAGGCAGGGTAAAGTGGGAGACGTGCCTACTTGTTTATTTAACTTCCTACCTACCTACTACCTACTGCCTACTTACAGCGATTGGTGTGCTGACAGACCGCCGCTAAACCCACCGCACCAGCCCACAAGACTCCAACAACAGCTGCATGAGGCCCTCTCGCATCGTACGGCACGGTACGGCAGATGCATGTCGCTCCTGCTACCCGCGGCACATCCACATGGTCCCGTACATGAAACGCAATGCTTCCCCTTCCTCGATCATCCGCATGACCGGCAAGAGTTGTCCCTTGCCGAGGCCCTCGCCCTCACGCACCGAACAGGCAGAACCTGGGCATGCGCTGTCCGACCACTCCGCTGACCACCGGGCCGCTGTGAATGCCGACGCGCATCTGGACAGGGGTCCCCGTGGTGGGCAGCAGCACCTGGTCCGCCGCGGAAATCATGGCCTGTGTGCGTGCGTACGGGTTCTGTGGTTAAGCTGTTGGTTAGGCTGTTGGGAATTTGGGTCCAAGTTGGGTTTGAGGCGGTGTCTGAGGTTCGGAGTTAATAATGGCATGTTGAGTGGTGCACATGTTGAGTGCCGCTGTGCATGTAAACCACATTCAGCTCTTTGCACCGGCGTGCCCAAGTACCCATGCACCCAACATTATACGTTGTGTATCGGATATGGCACACTGCATTACGGGAAGCACCGAAAGATGGGATAAGTATTTGTGCACGCAGAGCTGCACGAATGCATGCATGTTGCCGTACAAAAGAGCCGTAGCACAACGTCGCTTCATGCCATACGGACGAACCTTGGCAAAATTCATAACCCTTCCTGCATGGTCCGGGTCGGCGTGGCTGTCTCTCGCGCGTACGGCGGGCATGCCGTACTCGTCCTGGTGGATCAGCCCGCCCGCCACGAAATAACAGTCGCCGATGGTCTCAACCTGTGGCGGCCAGTGCGAGCGTTAGGAGCATAGGCGCGCTGCACTTAGTATGTGACATTACAGGTCACAAGTAAACAAGCAACCAAGTTGCTTAATTGTTTAGCATTCGTTTTTCAAACATTGGCATGTGAGCCCACGTGCCATGGCGCACCTTCCAAAGCTTCCATCAATCCGGGGTTGAACCAACGTAGCTACCCACCATTATGGTCCACCTCACCACCGTAACCGCCCCACCTTGTAGACCCCAAACTCGTCCAGCCGGCTGTCGAAGCGTGTGAACAGGTCGTTGAGGAAGGCCATCACCACCCGAGGCTCCAACACGTTGCACATGGGTGTGAAGCCTGCAGCCGAGGTTTTGCCAGTGATGATACATAACTGATGATACATGCAAATGGATTTAAAGGAACATCGTGGGAGGCGTGTCCATGCGTGTGTGTCCGAAACTATGGTCGTCGTCAGGGGGTAGACGGTCGTCCCCATCAGGGGTAGGACGGGGAGAACTGGGTGATGTGGCGTTGCGAAGGCCGATGATCATTGCGCAGCAGATGACACGGCTGGCCGCACGTTGTACGGCGAGTACGAGGTCGTACTTGCCCATCCGGAAACTGGGCATTGGTTCAATGAATTGACTTGGCTGCTGTACTCCGTGCTGACTGCTGCTTGTTTCACCGGTTCGGTTTCCGCCCACCCTCGAAACAAAACCGGCAACGAACCTTGTATGTCTGCGAAAAGCAGCGTCACCTGCAGAAGCAGCACATGGCACCGACACGCCATGAAAGTCAATCTTTCTAATCAGGACACCTTTAAGCAGCAGCACTTGTCCTGCCTGCTGGCTGCCTGCCCCCGCGGACCGCCGCCTTGGGCCCTATCCGGCTTCTGGCCAGTCCGCCAGCACTGCTTTTATATCTTGGCCTGCTGCCAGTTCGACCGTAATGGCGAGTAGATGGCGCCCTGACGGCAGTAGATGGCTCTCACCTGATCATGTGAGATGGCCAGTTTGTTTATGTCGCGAACCATGGGTCGCCAGCGGGTGGGGTCCGGATCCATGGGGGCGCCCCAGGGACCCCCCTCTTCGGTCATGTAGGTCAGCACGTGACGAGGGAAGATCTGCAAAAGGAAAGATGCCGTACAGAAACAGGGCAACCAACGGGCAAGTTAACAAATTCACCTCTGGAACTCTCTTAGCTGCTACGCTAGCGGCATGCCGTACCACGCTTGTTGCTGCTGTACGGCATCGTATAATGCCATACCTGTTCCAACAGTCGGTGCTCTGCCTCCGTCACAAAGGCGATATGGCGCTCCGCTTCCACTTTGGCGGTTACATCGGTCTGCGGGGTTCGTTGCGGCGGGAGGTCGTACGAGGATCTGCAGAGAGCACCCGGGAATACCCGGATGCGGACACGAACACCCGCGGCAGGTCTTTGCATGTATGTGTGGCTGGGGTGGAGAGATGGGAGAAATGACAAGGTGAGAAACGTTACGGGATGGACGGCGTGTGATGGGAAAACGGACGACCACCTAAGAAATCCGGCAGGTGGTATTCTCCTTTCACATTGCACGGGTTGGAACATGGCATCGACGTGGCTCGCTTACATGGGCGCCGCTACCGCACCTGCGTCATGACGATGGCATACTGGCCCGTCACGGGATCCGTGACACGACTCGCCGAGATCTCATGCCAGCAGGTGCCGGCAGCTGTCGTCGCCATCGTTGCTGCCGCCGCGGCAGGGGCCACCAGCGGCGGCACCAGCGGCGGCACCAGCGGCGGCACCATTAGCTCCCCCGGGCAAACTTCCACATCAACATTTCCCCCGGGACTGCACTCCTCCAACATAAGAAGTTGCCGTACATCATCGTCATCACAAGTCTCTGCAGCGTCGCCGTCATCGAAGTTACCCTCCTCTTGCCTGTTGAAACTAGCACTGCCAACTTCGCAGTCCTCCTCCGCACGCAGCAGCTCCTCTATTCCATTGTCAACCCCCTGCCGTACCAATATGCTGGCGTTGCGTCCCTGAGCTGTTACTGCTGCTGGTGCGACAGCGGCGCCCAGCTTCCCGTGCTGCTCACCGCCACGGCCAGCTGCCATCGCCCGCCCCGCGGCCTCATTCAATGCCCTCTGCGGCGCTGTGCGCGGGCGGGGCCGAACCGCTTTCTGCGTTGACAACAGAAGCTCCTCGATGCCCGCCTGACTCGCGTACCCGCCCTCCACCTCCGCCAGCAGCCGCCGCCCTCCATCTCCGCCTCCACCGCCTCCACCGCCTTCACCACCGCAACTAAATCCCCACCTCCCTGTGTCTGCAATCGCCACCGCTGACGCTTGTCTATCGCTTTTGGTCGTCTGACCACCTGAGAATACACGTGCGGACTGCCTTACGATCGGATGCTGCTGCTGGGGGGATATCGCAGCGTTGCCATTACTGCCGCCCCGGGATGGTCGTACGGAGCCGCCTGCCATCGCTTGTGATGACAATTGCCAGCCATTTATGTTGCTGTGCGACGATGCCGCTGATGGGGTGTCCGGAACTATTAGCGAAGGCGCTTGTGACGTCACACCGGCCGCCACACTGCCTCCCGAAATGGCTGACTGAAGCGCCCGTTGCACGGCACTGGGCGTGTTGCGCAGCGTGCTGGCAAAGGTAAGCACGCGGCTCGGGCCGAGGCCAGCAGCGCTGTTGTGGGCTTCGAGCTCCACACGGCTATAGCAGCGGCGCGGCGGGGTCGCAGAGCCGGTTGCTGTGGCTGCCTGCCGCTGGTATCCGTGATGCACCACCGCGGATAACGTACGGCTGACCAGGCCTTCCGCCGCAACCGCTGCAGTGGCGCCGGCGGCGCCGGCGCCACCACCATGGTAGCCGAGTGGGGTCGTGTCGTTACGTGTCGTGCTGCTTGACGACACTCTGTCATACCGAAGCGCCAAATCTGAACTGCGGCGGAACGCAGCGCCGATCATCTTGCGTGCCAGTGACGACTGCGGCGGCTGCGGTTGTTGCTGTGGGCTCCTGACGCCGGCGGAGGCAGCCTCCCCGGCAGGGAGATCGTGGACCGAATGAAATAAGGAGTTCGAGGCCTGGCCAGGGCTGACCGCGACACAGTTCTGCAGGCCCCGCTTGAGTTCTCCACTGCTATTGGAGACTCCCAATCGCCTAAGTGTGCGGCGGCTCGGCGGCACCTGTCCGGCCGTGGGTGTGGCAGCGACAGTGCCGGCGGCGGAGGTGCTGCCGCTGTTGCAGGAGTTTTTGATTGCATCGGAGGCACCTCCCTCGCCTCGCGTCAGCACGTCCTCTTGCTGCCGTCCTTGTTCTCTGTTGTCCAGGAAAAGCCCCCATGTCGACGTGGCCTGTACGATATGATATGGAAAAAGGTGTATATATATAGGTATCACGAGTACGAGCAGCAAGATACACAAGATCATTGGTGTGCACAGCGCAGGCATGGATCACTCGTGTGGCGAGGTATGTATGGTGTGCATGGTGAGCAGCAACCGTCGACAACCGACAGTTGGGGCCAAGTGCGGTTGGCCCCAACAGACAGTCCCGCGTGCGGCCGGGGGAAACAACAAACCCCCTCCTGGGCCCTTCTGGGCCCTTCTAACCACTAAACTGCAAGCAAGCCAGATGTGCATGTTGTCTCCAATGAGTAACCTAGTCATACAAGTAGTAACGCTGGTAGGCGCATGGCAGAATTCAAAGTTCTACTTCTGTTCCCAGAGATTTCGGGTTCAACTCCGCCTGCCGACATATTGGATGATGAGAAGTGTCATTAGAGGTGGTCCTTCAATTTGTGGACGGTATAGGACGTGATAATATCAATTTGAGAACTGACCAGATACTGAGGTTCCGTTGATTTGCTAGTTTTGGTTGGGTGCTGGTGGTGAGTTGCTGAACCCAACGAATACATTCTGAAGTCGGATGGGGTGAACGGATTAGGGTGCCCCTCTAGCAGGGGAGATCAGGGAACCGCCTCGGGAAAGGGGGCCGCTGGTGAAGCTTAACCACCCTGTAACGACATAATAAACAATGATAATGCACACACCGATGGAAGTTCTACGACCTAAATCCATCAGGATCGGACACGTCTCTTGTGGAGGAAGGTGAGAGCAATCTGGCGTGGATATTGGAGCATATTGGAGCATATGTGGGCTCACCGCACTTCAGTTATCCCTTTCGGGCGCTGGTCTGGGCTGATAGTGCGGTGTTTCCTTTTCTCCGTGGCTTTTAGGCGTTTTGGTATTTGCCCTTGGGCCTTCGGCTCGTATGAGTATTTTCACAGGTATGGGGTCACGCACCCCCAACCATGTAACAACCCCCCCCCCCAAAAATATCATAAACACATTATGTACACACATAAATAGACACACATGTGAAAGGGGCCCCGATGACTGATTGCCTGGTGGCTGACTAGATGACTGGTTGCCTAAATAGGCCTTATCATCATCACGGAAGCTCACCAGGGTTTCCGGCTCCAGCACAATACTTCTCATCTGGTGTAAGGCCCCCACAGCCTCCAGCGCCGTCACGTCCGTCGTGGTGCTGATCAGCTGCCCTATACTCAACAAGCTCGACAACACGTCTTCGCTGCCGGCACGATCCACGGTCGTGCAGTGCGCCAGCAGAAGCCGCGATAGCGCCGCGGCCGGGAGCTCTGGCGGGGGCGGCACCGCAGCCGCCGGGCCCCCTGCCAGCGTCTTTGTCATCGGCGGCGGCTGGGGCAGTTTGGGAGCGGCGCCCAGATGCGGCAGCAGGCAAACGACCGGGCTGTCCCCGCTCAGTGACGCGGACAACGTAACTTCAGGTAGCGGCGGCAGTGGCGGCAGAGCCATGGGGGGCTGAGGTTGTTGCGGTGGTTGTGGTTGGCCGGTGGTTGTGGTTGGCCGTCCAGAGAGGAGCTCGCAGCTTGCAGCCGCCGGCATGACGCGGGCGACATTGCCGCTGCCGTCGCCGTCGCCGCCGTCGTCGCTGTATTTCGCAGTGCAGCCGCCGCCGCCGCCGCCGCCATCGCCGCCGCCGTCGCCGCCGCCGCCGCCGCCGCTGTAGTTCGCAGTGCAGCCACTGGCGGCGGTGGCAGCTGTGGCATTTGCAGTAGCTGGTCGGTATGACAAGGCCGGGTGGCAGGACAGGGGAACCTGGACGATACCTGGCATCAACATAGGATGGTGCTCACGTAGGGTTGTAGGCACGGATCAGGGTTCAGGGAGGTGAGGCGATGTTGGTTGAGAGGCAGGCGGAAGGTGGACAGGCGCACGCACGCGTGGACGTATTCAATGAAGCTGCGCGGCGCGAGAAGCAAACGTCGCGGTGTGCGTGTTTTAATGAGCTCAGCCGTGTGTGTGTATGTATGTCATGTGCTTTTCGTGTCCACGTGAGTATTGGTCGAATATATCCATGTATATCCACATGGCGTGCGCACGCGTGCGTATGTATATATATGTATGATGTGTGAAACAGGGGGGTGTATCTTCGCCCGTGGCAGCTACCCTGCGAAACCCTGCCTTCCCCGGTATTTCGGGGCACCCTCATCCAGTCACCCTAGTCAACTTCTCAGTGGAACGCTCAGGTTCCGCACCCACCACCAGCATCCAACGGAATCTGCCGGGTCGACAGCGGCCCAACTCCGTTCCTGGTCGGCTCGCAGGTTAACTTTATCCCAGGTCACCACCGTCCATCAACTAGGGGCGCAATGCCTTCCACCATCGGAAGGACTTTGACCCTAATGGGTATCGATATGTATGTATACATACGTATATATACATACATGTATATAAACGTATATATGTATATATGTACATTATGTATAGATGTATGTATCTATGTATGTAGGTATGAATGAAGAGGCGAAAGCGAAATGCTGTGGGTACGAGTGGCATCGGACGGAGCCGCAGTGGGAAGGACTCAGTGTTGTGACTCAGGTATCAAGACGAGATCTGCAATTACGTACCCCTGCGGATGCCCCTTAGAACCTCACCTTTCCAGACGCGCCCCTCGATGCAAACGTCGTTCAGAAATCGTTCGAGCTGTGGATCAATCCAAGGAAGGTGCAAAGCGAAATCTTTTCCAATTTTGCTAAAACGGCAATTTGGTAGTAGGTTTTATCAGGCGAAATGAAAAGTACGTCGGCCGTGGCGCAACGGACGTCTAAAGCACTGCACGTACATCGCCGCCGAGCCGGCAGCGAAACAGGAGCAATTCCTGCCACCTCCCCAACATCTTAAAGATTGCGAGGCATATCCCCGTTTCGTCACCTTGACTGGATCAAAACGGAAGAGCTCTTCCCAAACACTTTCTCCACCGGCAGCAGCAGCGTCGCCCTCCGCCTCTGCATCCAACTGGGCATAGGAACGTGCGGTGCTGACTAAGAGTCGGGCGGGTTGTTCCTGGGCGACAGGGGCCGCTGCCTGATTCGCCGCCGGCGCTCGATTCCGAAGGCCGTAGTACAAGATGCTCTGCGCAGCAATAAGCACATCAGCCGTTTTCTGTTTCCTCATCAGTTGAAATACCATGGGGTGTACAAGTTGCACAGCCGTTTTCACGGTCGTTGTGGTAGCAGTTGCAACTGTAGGGTTGGCAGCCGTTGCAGTGGCAGTTGTGGCTGCAGATGCAACCGTAGCTAAAGCAGCGATTGCAACATAATCTCCACCTTGAAGTGACAGCCCTAGCAGCGCACTTGCGGTGGCATCGTAGCGCAGGACTACTAGGGGCTGCAATCGTTGGGGCAAAGCGGCCACAAAGAAATAGATTGCGCTGGCCAACGGCTAACGGCCACACTTGCCGTACGGAAAGGTTTTAACCGGTTCGCCCAGCCACATGAACCCGACCTCTCTCACCCACCGTTCCGTTTTGGTAGAGGACTCCCCGGCCGCACAGCGTGACTGCCGTCACGATGGGCGTGAGGCCCTCCAGGACCATGTTCTCGCGAGCCCTGAAGCCCTCCGCCACTTCCTGCATTGGGGCCCTATGCAGAACATCCCCACCACCATCACCACCGCCACCACTGCCACCGCCACCGCCACTGCCGTACCGGCTCTCTGATAACTCTGGCACAGCAGACCACGTGGGTTTGAGCAATCGCTGCCGAGGGACTGCGGATCGCTGTACCAGGTGCTGTTGTTGTTGGTGGTGGTGCTGCTGCTGCTGCGACTGCGGGTGTTTCCCCGGGGCCCGGCTTTCACACACATCATCTGCGTCGACAAATGCCAGAGGGACGCCGCCGCCGCCGCCAGGGTCAACGGCGCAGGGGCCAGACCCTGATGGAGTTCGCGTGCGGCCGCGTCTCTTCATACTTCCTGACGACATGGACGCCACCAGGGTGCTGCGCTCCAGGCTGAACGCATGTGACTGCTGCATTCGCTGTGGGGGCAGCGGCGGCGTCAACCAATGCCCCCCGTTATTGTGTGCGCCAACAGCGGTAGCGGTCGCGGAGGCGGTGGGGATGGCGATGTTTGGTGATGCTGCTCGATGCGGCTGTTGCAGCTCTTGCTGCTGGTATTGTTGCGAGAGCCCCATCACGAAGCTGAGGACAACGGCATGACGGATCACCCCCTGGCTGGTAGCTCCATGCAGGCTGTTCGTCCTGGAGGCAGCGACGTCATGGCTGCTCGTCCCACCTCCGCCGCAACTGTCGTACCCCGGAGTGTTGTTGGCGGACGCCGGAGTGGTTACCCGCTTATGCAATTGCACCACCCTTCGGTTGCGACTGGACAGGGCGTTGCCGGCAGAGATCCCTTTCCGAATGCGGGTGGCGCCGCCTTGTTGAGTCGCGACTGCAGGAGTGATCGACCCATACATGATGGGCTCGACGACGACGTGTTGCCAGAGCCGTGCAACAGGTACGGTGGGCGCTGTGTTGAGGGCCGTGGTTTGCGGGCCGGTTCTCGTTGTTGTGGTGGTAATGTTGGAAGCGATGAAGCCGCTGTAGTCGGAGGTAACGCGCGCATTAGTATCCGCTACGGGATACTGGTTGTGGTTGTGGTGGTTGTGGCTGTGGTGGTAATGTTGAAGTTGCCGCTGCTGGCATTGCGGGCGGGGCGAGGAGCCATTGCCCGAGATATGCGGGTATTTGCGGGCGGATAAGAGGAGCGTGAATGCGCCAGAAGGTTTGTGCGAGGCAAACCGAAGGAGGTGTTCCCTCACATCTTGCAGCAAGGCGGGCTCGGAGCGCTCTAACGTACTTAAAACCTCGCCCGCACCCTCGAGTACTGTCCCGTCCTGTAATTCCGTCTGTGGAATACGGAATGATTTTAGAGCTTCCAGATTGCAATAAACAGGGTCCAGCCTGAGTTGCGCGGGGTCGGCTTCACCATTGCCGAAAGGGACGTGACATGCGAGGACAAGCACGGCCTGCGGCGAGCTCCCGTAACTCATAGCTAGATCCAATAAAGATTTAAGCTCAATTCCAGTAGCTTGGATTTGTCTGCGGGGTTCCTTTCCCGGCAGAATTGCAGGAACGACATTAAAAGCCAAAAGTCCAACTGGACTTGCGCTCCGCCGTTGTCCGTCTTCCTTTGAAGCCCCGCAAGTAAAGCAAGGTATACATTTGAAGATCATGGGAAACGAGTAAGTTGTAAAAACTGGGATACCTGTGGCGGTTCAAGTCACGATATGCAGACTTTAGGAAAGGGTTTCGACATGACTGAGCCCCTTCAAGAGACATGTCAGCGCAAATAAGCATATATATGTCCTGCTACTTTTCTTACCTCTCAGAAGTTGCTTTCGTAAGTACGGACAAGGCGCTCCTAATTGGTCGTCCGGGTTGACTAACTACCGTCGGCCTTACGAACCCGTTTCCAATGGGGTTACAGGCGCCAAACTCCTCAGGATGTTATGACGGTATTTGGATGCTCTCAGAAAACTGCAGCGACAGCTAACGCGTTACCACCGTGACCAACGAAGTGTTGTGTGGGTTGGTTCGCCCTTTTGACATTACCATGGATTTCTCAGCTGAAACCTGTATAATTCCTTATTTCAAGCCGTTTCATGTGACATGATGGTTTGGGGCCGTTGTTATATGAGCCCTTCCTTAGTTTTAGGCCGTACAGCGTTCCAAAAGGGTCACTGTCCAAATGAACAGCTTCGAGATGTCAACGTCACGGGCTTTTGGCGCCCTGTAAATGCGTTATGAACCAGTCGTTACGTACTGTTGCTTCGAACAACAAAAAAATCTACAAAGTAAGTAATGGCTACTCTCACAAGTCTTTCTTGCTCATGTGATGTGCCACGCCCCGGTCGTCTGCCAACTGCGTAATTCACGTGCAGAGCCTACCGGCAGAGCTCTGCTGGGCCCATGCATAGACCACACTTTGAGTTTACATGGTGTGGTGATAACAGTACAGCGAACCGGCTTGTATGCCAGCAAAACAAGCCACCAAAACAAACAGGGGCGGGTGTTACTGACTACTAACCGGTGCAGGGCTGCATGTTACGGGAGTTTCTAACCGTTACAGGAATTCCTGCCTTATTAAGGCAATGCTGCATTACTCTGAGCCTGACGGATCACGGTAATACTAGGGAAGGAACCGAGAGAACATTCAAATAAAGGAGAACTTGCCGCTGCGGTTACGAGTGATCTGATTGATGGCGTCCCATTTGAGCGAGCAATTCGAGCTGGCTTTGCGGTGAGAGTCAGCTCGGGTAGAATCGCCCCGAACTGGACTTCCGAATTCAACTACATTTGGAGACACCCAAACAGCCCTTCGTGACTCTACGTCTAATTTTGGTGGCTAACTCGTCCCACATGTGAGCAGTTCATACTTCACTGTCGCGCTTTAACTTGCACCTCCGCATCTGGACAGCAAATCGCAAAGGGCACAGCTGTACCCTCTGCAAGTGATAAGGGGCACAAATTGCTGGCCGGCGCTCAAGCCCAAATATAAGTTCGGCGACAAATATAAGTTCGGCGACGAATATAAGTTCGGCGACAAATATAAGTTCTTGATGAGGAAATGCGATGGAAATATGCACTCGAAGACAGAAATCCGTTCAGATTTGGGCGTGCACGAAGTCTGCAAAGCATACTCGCCTCCTACACCAGGCGCACCCGCCGTACAGGATTCCTCGCACACTCCTGCGGCCTTATGTGCGCCAGTATGCCGTATCTGGTTCCCATCACTGCCAGGTGTTGCACTTGTAATCTGGCCTTGTGCAAGAATTTATGCTGTGCACGTAGGATTCTTTGTCACAACCAAACGCCAAGTGCACACGAATTTTCCCTCAACAGGGCCCTCAACAATGGAGGTGCCAAATGCTTTTGCGGCCAAGAAAACAATGCGGTGGCGTAATCCGCACACGCAGCACGGGTGGGGGTTGGGTGGTGAGTGATGGCCGGCTTCTATGGTTGCCATGGACCATTATGCGTCATAGAAAATTACATTTCTCACCACAACTTTTTATACTATAAGAACAGGATGCGATGGGGGGCTGTATGCGATGTAAATTTCTTGCGCGGGAAATGGCTGTGGTAGTGGGCACAATTTGTGAAGAGGGTGTCTGTCCGCCAGTTACGGCTACGGCAGTCTCCTTCCCGCTGTTCCTACCTCTTTCCTGGCGGCATAGCAAAAAGCTTTGTTCAGTCTTTAATGCCAATATAAAGCTTACCTGCGAGCAAACTTGTACGGCGGGTGCGTCTAGAGCGTAGGAAGCGAGTATGCTTTGCAGACTTGAATGCATCGATACAGAATCAAAGAACGAGCCGATTAAGTGCTTCGTGCACGCCCAAATCCGAGCGAGAAATCTAGTGGTCCTGAGGGGGCTATTACACGGTTACGATGGATCATTATCGGCCTGGTTACTTTGTGGCAGCTTTACGTCCTCCCGTACAAGCCCGCTTATGCTGGCTATGAGAACCTACGAGATTTCTGTGTGAGGACTGAGAGGCGAGCACGCGGAGCCGAAGACTCGACCGCGAGGAACTCAGTGCCGAGACACCCACCATCGAAGACAATTCTCTGTGGTAGATGGCCCGGCAGTCCCGTGTAATGCACTGGACCGGTCAGCGGGGCGAGGCACCAGGCGGGTGGTGGTGCTGCACTCGGACTCCACGTCCGCCTCCTCCTCACAACCCTTTGACTGTTTGTGTGTGTGTGTGTGTGTGTGTGTGTGTGTGTATATGCACACATACAACGGTGTTAACAACTTATAGCTACAGACAGACAGAGAGACAGACAGACAGGGTAGGCAGACAGACATGGTGTACATTGTTCGGGCCTCTACCACCATCACCACACAGAGGAGCTCTCACTTCTGCAAGCATCCTGAAAATTTCAGTACCAGCACCAGCACCACCAGCACCACCAGCACCACCAGCGGGAGGTGGGAAAGGGTAACCTGATGCAGTTACAGCCGCCGGCTAAGAAAGACGTCAACATCAGGACGACCACCACCAACAACAACAACAGCAGCAAAACCCAGGTAATGCCCCCCTTCCCCCCAGGGGCCCCCCGGGAGGCAGGTCTCCAAGCCCCAGGCCGCAGCCGGTCCAAACATGTCGGATAGCCTCTGTCCATGAACAGGCCCCCATCAGCCCAACCAATCCTTTCCGTACACACCATCTCATCATCATTACCACCACCACTATATATCGTTATGTCACAAATTTATGATACATACATACATGCATACATACATACATTTGCGAGCTGACCAGGAACTAAGTTGATGCGCCGTTGATCCGCTAGATTTGGTTGGATGCTGGTGGTGAGTTGCCGAACCCAACGAATACATTCTGAAGTCGGATGGGGTGACGGATTAGGGTGCCCCTCTAGCAGGGGAGAGCAGGGACTGCCCCGGGAAAGGGGGCCGCTGGCGAAGTTAACCAACCTGTAACAACATACATACATACATATCCATGTCGCTGCTAAAAACCTCGAATCACTTGATGAATGGCTCCACTCCAGGTCACTTCAAGTCAGCCCCAGGCCTCCCTGGCTTCGGCGCTGGCAGCGTTGGTCGGCGGGCGGAGCTGGGCCTGGCTCTTCCGCACCCTCTGAGTCCCGTTCCCAGCCCCACCTACCCCCGCCATACTTCCTCCGCTCCCAGCAACATCTGCCGCGGCTCCCTCCCTCTGAAATGACCCCTGGGACGCCATTACCCGACCCTCCGCTGTGGCCATGTATTGACCTGAGTTTTGGCTTTGCAGTTGGCCAGGCAGCTGCAGGGGAAGCTGTGATGCACCTGGTGGCGGCTGCGGCGGTGATGATGGCAGCAGCAAGCCGATGCCGTTGCTGTCGATCGGGGGGTCTTGCTTGGCCTGCGTGGTTTTCCGCCGGCGCGCCGACTTGCTCGGTACGACAGCGATGCCAGTGTTGTCCCACGGCCCCTGGGGCCTCTGTGATCGTCCGGTCCGTACGCCGCAACAAATTACGTCAAAGCCGAGGGGCGCAGGAAATGCACAAAAAGGGAACAGGGTGGTAGGCATGATGATGCTGACGATGATGGTAAAGATGGTGATGGTGGTGTTAAGGAAGCAGGGTTCTTCACCCCGATTCGGTCCCAAACATTTTTGAGATTTTTGCGTTTTGCCCGAAAGAAAAATTAGTGCGCCCCGGAGCATCCCGAACGAATTTTGAGCCTTTTGAAGCATTTCTTCGGGGGCCCTCCCGAAGCCTCCCGAAGGCATTTTCGGAGAAAACCGAACGATATTCAAGCGTAAATTTGGATGTTTCCGGGCGCAGAAGGGGCCTGGAAACCGGGCTTGCAGTATAAGGCCCGCTTGGTCACCAGTCAAACAACAAGTACGAATGTGCATTGCGGCTGTATCGCACACATTTTCATACATCTAAGCATATCCATAATCAAACACGCCCGAGCCAGCTGATGATGTGTGTTGAGCTTGGCTTTAGTGTCCACCGCATTATCAAGGACAGGCGGAACAGGCTGCGTAACCGGCTGTCTGTCCCGTCCATTGATTCCCTTCTGCGTGTTGGATTACTCGGTCCAACCGTGGATATGAAATGTAAACCCCTTGTGATAAGAGCTGGCGCCATGTTCCAAGATAAAGTCAAACACCTATTACTTCAGCCGTCCTAGCATATTACGATAGAATCCAGCTTAACTTTACCCCGAAAACCGCTTCAGACAGCTTCGGGCTGCCCGAAAAAACGGTCAGCCTGGCAAGGAAATTTTCGGGGAGGGCCCCGGTAGGTTATTCAGAGGGTTTCGAGCACGATCGAAATATTTGGGTACCCTGGTGAAGAACCCTGTAAGGAAGGTGGGGATGATGTTGGTAATGGTGATGATTATATTGATGAGGTGGAAGAAGAAGAAGAAGTAGGAGGACAAGGTGAAATAGAGGCGGAAGCGGGAGGGGAGGGGGAAGGGTGGGAGAGGGAGGAGCTGTAGAGGGGAAGGGGGAGGGGGGAGGAGGGGGAAGGAGGGGGAGGGCAAGCAAAGAAGGGTACGTGCCGTGCCGGGGGATGTGGGGGTTAGGAGGACAGCCATGCACACACCATCTGGACGCGTGAACAAATGTACGGCATTATCATGGCGAGTGTTGGACGTTTTACTGCACACTGTCGCAATGTTTTCACGTTTTGTAAGAGTCTGTCTGCAAGTAGATTCGATATGTCGCAAAGTAATATACAACTTCCCAAAAACAATCGTTAGGTCAATAACTATGTATCAAATTCTGGGAAAGAAAAGTTTGCCTTACACCTTTATCATCATCATCCATACACCTCCTCTACGGAGAGGCCTTCACCGCTGAGCCCGGCCACGTCGGCCTAAGCGCCGTGTGTACGTACGTCGTCGCACCTTGGGTAAAATTGCAATGTACGACACCCAGCGGTAGCATCCGTACACCATTCCAACCAGGACCAGGGTCACTACCATGGCAGCCAGCGCGACGGCGATGACGCCCCGCGTGCTGAGACCGGAGGGCGGGCTCTGCGACATGTACGACACGTTGGCTGACGAAGAGAAGTAGCTGCGCGCGCAGGGTCGGGGCGGGGGTTTAGGCGGTTAGGCGGTTAGATTGGGAAATCCAAGGAAATGCAAAACGGCGGACGGCAAACAAGAGAAAACAAAATGACAGACAGTGTCTGTCTGTCTGTCTGTCTGTCTGTCTGTCTGTCTGTCTGTCTGTATGAATGTATGTTGTGCACGTTTAACCATCCTTTCCTCAGCCTGCCTCTGACTCCTCTTGGCCTTGACATCCCAAGCACAACACCAGCCACGTCGTACCTGGTGTACGGCGAGCCGTTGAACACCCCTGTGGTGTTGAGTGCCAGCAATCGCATCAGCGCCGTCACCTGGCCCTCGGTGGAGCCCGAGGGGAGCACCAGCCGGATATCCACCACCACGGCCTCCTGGGTTGCGGGTTTTCAGGTGTGTATGTGGGGGGGGGAAGGAGGAGGGGGGAAGGAATAGCTGCTAGGAAAACTATAACCCGAGTCCAAGTGTGTACAGTCAATGCGCAGAAACCTCACACACAAAAACGCGGGCCCAGCCGGTAGTGCCGCCGTATCCCCGTGCATTGTGTGCCGTGCCGTACAAACCTTTGTCCGGTTTGAATCTCGGCTAATTTTGAGGATTCCACTGGTGATGTTGGCAGTATCGGGCAGCGCCAGCAGGTTGGACTTGGCGGAGGCCAGGTAGGCTGCCAGAGTGGACTCCAGGGAGGACGTAAGGCCCGCCAGGAGGGTGCCATTGGACTTGAGGGTTTCAAAACCCAGCGACAGGGGGAGCAGCATCTGTAACCGAACATCCGCTGAGGGGCGAGGGAGGAAATGGGTTTGGGTTGCGGGAAAGGAGGGTGGAGCCAGGTAGCGGATTAGGGGGAGTTTGGGGGTCAGGGGCATGAGGGCCGCCAAGGGGTGAGTGCGGGCGGGCGTGTGGCGAGGGGGAAGGGCCGGGAGAAGCTTCTTGAGGCAGAAGAACCGTCAGTTCTCGGCGCGGGACAACGAACGTGTGTAGGTGGTTGGGGCAAAGTTGGGTATTGCCGGTGCGGGCTGAGGAGAAGTGGGCCTTATGAGGGTTTAGGTCAACTTACAATTGAAGGTGGCACCAACCGCGCTGAGTGGCGGCGGCGACGGCGGCGACGGCGGCGACGGCGGCGACGGCATAGCTACCTTATACTGCATGATGATGTGTTTGCCGAAGCGATTGGTACTGCACTTCATCGTGTTGTTTATGATGGTGAAGTCCAGCGCGGTGCCGTTGGAGCCAGGCGGATAGCCGTACGCCTGGTAGCTATTGCCTGTGTGCAGCAGTACGGCAAAGAGTCACACGGTTCGGAATCTGATGCGCGGCGCGGCGTCCGCCTACGTTCCCCCCAATCCCGAGGTCGCCGCCTTCAAAACCTCCTACCGGTCAGTTCTGCTTCTTGTACACTCTTTCCTTGGCAGCAGCTTCACTCTCTCACGTGGTTCGTCTTTCCCCCCATAACCCTCGGCCCATGTGTCCATACCCTCCGCCCAAGCTGCGGCTCAACATCCCCCGCTACCCAGAGATTAAACCTCTCACTCACGTCATCCCCCCAAACAATCTCGCCAGTGCCCATCTGCAGCCCCGCGGCCTCCCCTTTCGCACTGCCCCAGCCCCGCCCCAAGTCAACCGACCCGAGCCCATCCTAACCAGCTATATCCCTTCCCCACACACCCCACTGCCCGCACCCGCACTAGCCCGCAATTAAATCACCACACCCCCAGTCGGTCCACCGCCCAGTCGTTACTTGGCTCCCTAAGTTGCTCTGCCGCCCCTCCGCAAATCCCTTCTACCGGCCCTGCCCTCCCACCACCCCAAATCCTGAACGCACCCCCGCTCCCCCACGTACCCGTCACGCTTGGCTCGAGGCGCAGGCATACGAACGACCGGGCCGGGTCCACACCTGAGGAGTTCAGCGGCATGGACAGCACTGCCATGCAGCTGCTGACGCCGCTGCTGGCTGCGGTAGCGGCGTCATCGCAGATGAGTGCGTCCTGTCTTGCGGTGTATCCAGACGAGCTAGACAGCTGCAGCTCCACCACCCCGGAAACCAGCTGGAGCTCCGACACGCCGGAGCCGCTGAACACATACGGCCAGTTGAGGGTGAGGGAGGTGAAGGGCGAGGCGTCGATGTAGAATGACAGTGACAGGGTCAGATCGCCGGCTTGGGAGCAGTCGGTATCGGCGGCGCACCAATTAGCAAAGGCGTCCGCGGGGAAGGAGGCGGAAGCGGAGCCGTTGGAGATGGAGGAGGGGGGCATCGTGGCGAGGAGTCGGCGACTGGCGGTGTTGGCGGTGATGGTGGTGATCATGGGTACATCTTTTGCTGGCATAGGAGCGGCAGCCGTGGCAGTGTTGCGAGCAGTACGGGGACATGACGCAAGCGGTCCAATTGGACAGTCTTCCAACGGCTGCACTGTATCGGCCTCTCGGGGTATGACGGTAACACCAGCTGTAACGTCAGAGCCTCCGAGGAACCCCAAGCCTGCTAGGTTGTCCAGTGGACGTGTACATGTACCAAGGCATAATGGTGTAGGATAGGAACGGGGACACCCAAGGGATTATGAAAGCCCGGTTCGAGAGCAAATCACAGTAAAGTGGGGAGGCAATGGTAGCTATAAGCATTGTTGTCAAGTTGCAAGGGCTTCTCGGCTTACCGCTGACAGGACATGCCAATACAAAAGCTTGGACTAGGAGAAGAAAAGCTGTTAGCTTTCTCCGCTTTTTTGGAACAGTAATCATATCAATTGGAAAACGCGGTAACCGGTATCCTTGACGTCCGCTGTGTGGAAACATTTTCCTACATACCGGCAGCGCCCAGGTCTGGGCACGTCCATGAAGGCACCGCATTTAACGCGTCATATTAGATTAGTAAACGTCTTCAGCGCAAGCCTAAAGTTGTCGAGCGAATTGCTGCTAAACAATGATAATCCTTTGGATTTCCGACCATCACCTTTCTAAACGCAATGCCGATTGCACGTATCACGGTAAGGAAAAAGTCACATGCGGTATCTAATGTTACAACTTCAGCTGTTGCTTCAAAGCATTTTTCAGCGTGTAGATAGAATTACATGCGCCTACTTCAACTCTGTCGTATGAACAGGCAACACCACTGATTTTAATCGGCAAGATATCTCTCAACATATACATTACTCTCGTTTACTGGATGGTCCCCAAGGGGACGCCAAATATTGCGGAAGGTCCCGAAGGACACGACCGACGGGGAAGGAATAAGTTTTCAACCAGCAATAGTCGCGCCTCGATTAGATCTCATAGGCTGCGACATTGCCCCAAGCGCAAAGATGCCATAATATGGAAGACATGTAGGACACACCTTCAGGCTGAAATGCCCAAGATAACTTGAAAGACGATGGTGGGTCACATTCTCACGGTTTACAATTACCCGAGACGTACCCGTCCGCGTCCAAAGAGCGAACACTCGTATCCAATTAGTTCCTGCAAGCCATGCGATGAAGACAGGGCAAGGAGCTAAAATTCCTGTTGCTTGTGCAGTGCACGCACGGCGTTGTCCAATGTCCAACAGATGTCGGCTGCAAAACACACGCAGTACCGGGCTCTGCATTTGCCGACCAATCTGATACGGAAAGCTGCATAACACCTGCCTGCTAAAATTACCGGCTGGTAAAACGCGCACTGTCCATATCCAGGGGAAACGTGAAGACCGGGCCGTACAATCTAGTTGCAAACCTAGCCGGCAGCGGTGGAGGGAAGAATTCCAACTAACTCTCAATGTTTGCGCCTCTTGTGCATACTGCCGTACAATGCGGCTTAAAAATCGCATTCCAGCACCTCCCGTACACAGGATGGCAAGTGTGCCGCCGTGTACATTCGGAAACATGTTACTTGCGCGACCCGTCCCAAGGGCTGGATTTGCTGCTAGCACCTGACAAAAAGTTAACACTATTTGCCTGACCTCCGTGCGGCAGCAAAGTACATGGGGTATTTAGATACGCATGCATGTATGCAACTTGTAGCAGAGCCTTAACCGCACGAACCAAAAATTTTGTAACCGACCGCTCGCAAGTAGCACCCCATTATGCGCCCACCGCTATGCGCCACGTATGCGTAATCCCTCCACGGCTGCAACCGCTGAATTGCCCTGCACCTACCTCTCATCACAATCCCCCTACATCTTCGCCTCAAAATCTACAACACCACCTCCCCTCCCCTCCCCGCACCTGAACAACCCCACTACTCTGGTGCGATGCTCTCATTTCCAGTCACGAATAGCAGCAGGACTTCCCCCAGTGTGTAGGCGGCTGGCCCAGTTCCAGGTCCCCTCCCATTACATCGGGCACCCTTGGACTTGCAGCAACCGCCGAGCCAGCAATTTGGTGTCCCCAGCGGTGGTGCCGATGTCGCACATCGCACGGTGTCACCAAACTTGCCCCAGGTGCAGCCCAGCCGCCTCAGGCAGCGCAGGGTGACTTGGTCGCCATTACCTGCTGCCACCGCGTAGGGTTCGCCTTAAGGTCCTGTAATGCAACAACACATCGCAAAATGTATGTGTGAGATGGGGCCTGGATAGGTAGGTAGATAGATGTGGATCAGCGGAGAGATGACGGAAGCCAGGTAATGAAGGTACCGCATTCAGCCAAGTTATTGGCAACAGAACTGGCCCCCATCAAGGCCCATCAAACCCACACTACAGAGCCAGCCAACCACGCACCCCCATGGGCCAGGCCCGAGCTGCTAGCCACTCGAGGAAAGCCGGTATACCGGTATTTGCAGCGTCCTGAAAGGTGCCATCAGACCAGGTATATAGCCCCGGTCCAGAACCTACTCCATCAACTCCACACTTCCTGCAGATGCAGCAGCTGGAGTTATGTCGTCCATGGCCAGTTGGAAGGCCTCCGGACCAACAGCCCGAGCCCGCTCCGGCTCCTCCAGCCACCGAAGGATATGCAGATGACCATGCTCTGCAGCGAATATCACAGTGTGCATGGTAAGCCGCCAGCCCAGGGTCACGAGCTCGGCCAGGACCACCACCACATGCATATGGTGCATGTTACTTGCTCTGTTGCAAAGTCCGTGGGTCCCGGCAGCCAGTCCCTCTCTGCTCGCAGATAGCGCAACAGGGGCAGCTTGGCAGCTCAGATAGCGGCCTGACTATGTAAGCGCCTGTTCCTCGCCATCCAGAAGTGCCAGCTGTACTCGCACCGAAACATCTGGGCGGCTGACGCATTTCCATTAAACCCCCTAGTGTTATCAAGGCGGCAGCCCTGAGCCTGCAGCTACTCCAGTGTGGCCCGCCACTCAGGAGGTTGGGCTCGACAGCGCCTCCAGTAGGACGTCTGTCAGCAGGCTGCTGCCACCACTGCTGCCAGCAGTTGAGGACACCGCCGCTGTCTTCCGGTGCAGCTGCTGCAACATCGCCAGGTTGAAGCCATACGCAGCACCCTTGAAAACTTTGGCTGTAAGGACTCCGGAGCGCGGGGCACTTGCACTTCTGCCGCCTCCAACCGCCTCCAACTGCCGCCTCCACTTGCACTTCTGCCGCCTCCAACATCTCCACCCCGGGCTGCAGCAGCAAGACCCCTTGTCAAGCAGCACCGACACCGTGCCCTCCAGGAGCTCCAGCATGAGCAGCCGCAACCAAGGCCCTGGCACCCACCAGCTGCCTGTAGTATTTGAGGACATTACCCGTTGCAGCAGCCGCCGCACCATGTCAAGGTCGCCGTTGCCGGCAGCTGCTTGTGTACCGCCCCATACACTAACAGGGCCGCCCCGTTTTATGAACCACTGGCACACCCCCATGCTGCCGCGCTCGGCTGTTGCGATGAAGACCTCGTCTGTGAGCGGAAAGCCTGCAGCTTCGAGGGCGACCTGCAGGATAGCCAGGCTGCGGCTGCGGACCGTCAGGAGTATGGACGCTTTCGGCGCTGCTTCAGTGTCAAATCGTGGACTGCCTCCGGGTGGCGCCAATGGTGAACGCGTGGTGAACGCGGCATAGAGCGCGGCACAGGCTGCGATGGGTACTTTGCTCCGGACCTGGCTTAAAGCCTTTTAGTACGCACGCGGCCTTCATTTGGGTCCAGGAAGCTGACGACGCGCTCTATCAGGTCCGGTGTCAAACCGTCCCAGCTATGCCCCTTCTCAGAATTCATAGGAAAGGGTTGAAATCGAAACGCTTTGCGTAGCGGCATTTTCGACAGAGCATGGATCTAACCCGTACGAAACCGGTATAGTAAAACCGCGATGGAAATGTAATGAAAGCCTAACTCCATAATTTGGTAACCTGCATGACCTTCCAAAGTTACGAATGCCTGGCATCGAATGCCGCCCATACCTTCAGCAACACACGCGTAGATACAATCCACAATCATGGCGACTAAGAAGTTGCAACACCAATCATGAGTCCCGCCGCCTAAGCAGCAAATCCTCAATTTCACGGTGGTGTTGAAAAACACCGGATTTTGCTTTGAGGGCTGTCCTGGACCTCTTACGCGCGCTCGCCACGGATGCGACGGGCCAGCTGGATGTCCTTGGGCATGATGGTGACGCGCTTGGCGTGGATGGCGCAAAGGTTAGTGTCCTCGAACAAGCCCACCAGGTAGGCCTCAGCAGCCTCCTGCAGCGCCAGCACCGCCTGGCTCTGGAAGCGCAGATCGGTCTTGAAGTCCTGAGCGATCTCGCGCACCAGCCGCTGGAAGGGGAGCTTGCGGATGAGCAGCTCCGTGCTCTTCTGGTACTTGCGGATCTCTCGCAGAGCGACCTGTAGGGGTCCAACAGGGAAGGAGCGGCAGGGCAGGACAATTGGGGTCCAGAGTTTGAGGCGGTTTACGAAATTGAATGAAGATATGTATGGTGTCTTACCGTGCCGGGGCGATAGCGATGGGGCTTCTTGACGCCGCCGGTGGCTGGAGTCTTGCGGGCTGCCTTGGTGGCCAGCTGCTTGCGGGGCGCCTTGCCGCCGGTCGACTTGCGCGCAGTCTGCTTAGTACGGGCCATTCTGTATCAAAGTTAAGTAAGAATCAAGTGCACCTCTAGAGCTCTTCCCAGTTAGAATCTTGCAGCGTCATTTTAGGGTGTGTTATGAATTTTGCGGAGGTGGTTGTACGACTTCCGTTGCCCCGCTGAGCCGATCCAAAACAAACTCGAACATAGTGGTAATGTCCAAACCAAAGCTATAAATACGAATAGCTTGGATAACACTATAAACGCAACACTTTCGACCGTGTTCTGCTCTTGTGTCCTCACATTGTTATATCACCACTACCATGTCTGGACGCGGCAAGGGTGGCAAGGGCCTGGGCAAGGGCGGTGCAAAGCGCCACCGCAAAGTTCTCCGTGACAACATCCAAGGCATCACCAAGCCTGCCATTCGGCGATTGGCTCGCCGTGGCGGTGTAAAGCGTATTAGCGGGCTCATTTACGAGGAAACCCGCACGGTCCTCAAGAACTTCCTGGAGAACGTCATCCGTGATTCAGTTACTTATACTGAGCACGCTCGCCGCAAGACTGTCACAGCCATGGACGTCGTATACGCACTTAAGCGCCAGGGCCGCACCCTGTATGGCTTTGGTGGCTGATCGTCATAACGACTTCATTATCTTCAACTATCCGGTGTTTCTTAACACCACCATCCTTGGATGTAGCGTACGCCTGCCAACTTGCGATTGACTCAGGCCCTCTTTACTGAACTTTGATTTTGACTTGTTGGCCCTCTCGCTGAACTCTATCCGCCCCAATTACCCTGTATCTAAATCCTGATGTTGAATCTTCGGCACTTCACTTTGCCGCCATGACGATGCCATCAGTGCCGTAGTAAGGGTATACCTGCTCCCCCCTAGGTATATAACCCTCTCCCTTGCACGTTCTGTTCGCGGCCAATGTTCGCGGCCAACAGTAAAGCCTTCACTGCACAAACTTGCGATCCGCTTAACGCGGGATATGCGGGAGCACCTTCTTCCTGCCCGCTTGCTCAGCCGCCAGATCCATCCAATGCTTATATTTCGCCGTGTGTGTGTTACATGGTTGAGGGTGCGTGACGCCATACTTGTAAAACTACCTATACGAGCCGAAGGCCCAAGGGCAATACTACAACGCCTACACGCCACGGAGAAAAGGAAACACCGCACATCAGCCCAGACTAGCGTCCAAAGGGGGTAACTGCGTTTCGGTGGGCCCACATACGTTCCAACATCCTCGCCAGACATACTGGTTTCCATTTCATGGCCTCCAACATGCTCTGTTGATGATCGAATCCCTCATCATTATAGGCTGGGCATTCCAATAACACGTGTTTTTCATCCTCGATTCGGCTATTAGTACCACAACAGCGGCAAAACCGCTGCTCCCTGGGGACATGGTACTTCGTGCTCTGTTTGCCTCCAGAGCCCAGCAACATAAACGAAACTGCATTAGCTTACGATGCGCTAAACGAGGAATGAAAACCTTAGCATGTGTTGGCCACATGACGGCTGCAGCTCCTGAAAATGACAGCCCCATCCAGTGCTTATACTTCCTGGTTGCTTACCGCCTGACGGGTACACGTCTGGCTGAACATCTAGACGTGTATGCGTCCAACGCTCATCAATCGATCCTTGAGCTCCAATACCATACCTTCTGGCAATTGGCCTGTTCATTAGCCATTTCCACTCGTTCGTCTGCCTCACGTAGCCCTTGCGGGGCCTCTTTCCATAGGTCGTGCCCCAGAAAACTTAGAAAACGGAGGACTAGTGTCCCCCATTCGGCCCCTTCGGGGTTGGAGAGGGCCTCTGCGATCTCCTGTCGCAAAACTCGGTGTGCCGCAGCCTGGCGCCTTACTGTTAGGCAGCCGGTCAACAGAACGTGCGACTTCCTCCAGCATGTGAAGGGGGTGTCTAGGGTTTCTGTTGCCTGTGCAATCCTGCCCAAAACCGAGTGGGATGTCCGCCATTACTGCCCCTCTAGGCGTTGCCCGAAGTTAATTAAGTTCAAAAACCGATTCGCACCATAAGGCCCGGTCTCTCCGACACCCGCATTTTAACAGCGAAGCAAAAGTGTTCCCTGAGATCCTTAACATCATCCATCGCACATCGCGCTCTCAACTTCCCTGCCAAAGCCCGTCACAAACTCGTTGATCATGCCGACATGACACTTGGCCACAAGAGCTCTCATCCTGCCCTCCTCATATGCTGCCTGCCTTCACATGCCTTTTCCCCGGGTGGTAGTCCGTCCGCACGCTGCGGAAAGCCTCCCATTCCGGACCCGACTAAATACTCACCCAGCCTAAACCCATCAGGGCCCTACACTCCACAACGTCCTGCCGTGTTGGCCGGCATTCCCGGTTCCGCCAAACGGTATCCTCACCTACAGCATGTATATCACAACGTATAGCCACGTGAAGACAGGGCGAAAGGACCCGTCTAAAGCGGAAAACCGTCCAGCCTCATCCCATGAGACACCCATCCCCATCAAGAATGATACCAGGAATGAGCCAACAGATACAAAGCCGGGCCTTTCACGCTTCAGTAAAGCGGACCTGTGGGTCAAAACCGCCAGCCTTAGGCTGGGCCTCTGCTGGTCTGAGCTCATCACGTCAGGTGCGCTCATCATCCAGTCGCCATCACTTCATCATCAGTGCTGATCACTTGCCCTCCTCTAGGAACGCCTTGGCCTGGTCCACATTGGCCAGCACCACCTTGAGCTTGGGCTTGGGCATGGGGGCGTACCTTAAAGAGGAAACAGATACATAGTCGTGTACAGCAATGGGTGGTCAATAGTGCAGGTACTGATAGATGCTATAGCACTGCTCAGGCCAAAGAATAGAGCGACATTGGTGAACATGTGTACATGGGGAGGCTTAGGTCGGCACGAAGCATTGATCACGGAACCGTACAGTCGGGATGGATAGACGCTGGTAAAGAGGGCTTCCTACGCAGTTCAGCTTGACAGAGCTTACAGCACGCACATGTTCCTTTGCAACACAGCTCACACACACAGCACACAGCACACAGCACACACACACACACACACACACATCTAGGCGCCGCAGTCCTTAGCTGCGACAAGAAACCCTTTGGGAGTCTGGAGCCAACTGTAACAACCACACACACGAAAGCCCGCCATGTTATGCGCTATATAATTCATACCCTGCAATCTCCAAGAGCCCAGGCATCGTATTGGATGGCGTTACAGTGGAGTCGACCGGAGTGCTGCCCGCATAACCCAAAATTGTTTAGGCCAGGAAACCCCCTTCCTATGCCCGGAGACGTACTTTCCGTAAAGCCTTTCCAAGCCGTTATCACCGGCCCTGGCGTGCTCCTTCCCAACAACTAACAGTGCATATACCATGAAATGCGCTGTATGCGCCTTCGCGAACCTTGTTTCGCTTACCCGTTGGATGCCAGATGGCCGATGAGCGCGTCCACAGCGATGTACATGCGCCGGGCGCTGTCCGTGCGCGCGCTGCCTCCTCGAGCGTACTTGGACACCCAATCGGAGCCCTCCGTGCGCAACGTCTTGATCAACGGCACCCGGACCTGGTAATTGTTCACGTCCTGTTCCCGGAAAGCGCGCGAATGAACGTTAGCACACATGCAATGTAATGTAATGTAATGTTACAGAGTGGGAGGCTTCTGGGCCGCTTTATCACATTGTCAGTTCAACAATTTATCACCTTATAGCACCATCCACCACTACCACACTGTCTTCGCCATACGAACTGTAAGTCCAAGGCGGCGGATCCAGCCTTCAGGGACCCCTCCTCATCCATTCACCCGAACATCCGAAGAGACGGAGGGTTCGGCAATCGCCACCAATCCAGCGTGCGAATCTGGTCCATCAACTGTGACCTCAACTCCACATCTCAGCAGCTAGCCATAATCTCGCGCTCCCGACTAATTCGGGGGTCTCCCCGGGAATCGAACACATGAACACGTTAGCACACATGCAGTCTACTACATGCAGTCTACTACATGCAGTCTACTACATGCAGTCTACTACATGCAGTCTACTACATGCAGTCTACTACATGCAGTCTACTTACGCAAAAGCAACGCGGACAGAGGGCAGAGCAAAGGGGAAGAAAGCTCGGGCCATGCATCACTAGTTCCTATAATTCTTAAAGGGGTACGGCTGCTACTTGTTGGGTATCCTTAACTCCCGTCCAACGTGCTTTTGCTGACGGTTGAAACAGTTGACTTCCTTTTCAGCGTTGTGGAAATGAAGAGATCACAGAAACACAACCACGTAACTTCGGGAGACCTGGCAGCAACGCACGTGGCAATAACGTCGTCCAAAACATGTTCGTAATCAGTCCGTCATTCGTCAATATTTAGTTCAGAGCACGTGTCCCATCAAAAAGCTGCGATCGATCAGTCCTCACCAAGGTCGCGTACGAGATGATGTCCTCCCGTAGCTTCAATGTACTGCGAACGTACTCGCTATCCAGTACGGCAACGGGCACTCCACTCACAGCGGCTGCGAGGGGTTGCGCACGGGCGGGCGGGAGATAGGCCGTCAGGAGGATCGTGGTGGTGGTATGGGAGCGCAAAACGTTCGCATGGGTGAGTGCAGGTATTGTACTAGAGCCCGAAACGAATGAGCAGCAAATAAAAACGGCCATAAAATGGCGCCGCACACCACACCGCATCACAGCAACTGCAAGCAACCCTAAGAAGTCCCACTCACCCCAGATGGGAACACGCGATGGATTCCCCCAACTGGTGGATTCCCCAAATGGAGCGAAAACAACACACTCCGCAACACACTCCGCAACACTCCGCAACACACTCCGCAACACTCCGCAACACTCCGCAACACTCCGCAACACTCCGCAACACTCCGCAACACTCCGCAACACACTCCGCAACCAGACACTGAAGGGGCTACGGGCTATACATCCTACATGGCCTGCACACTGCCATGCATTCCCAGCCGAGTGTTTTGTCTGCAGCAGGCGCGTGCGCGTGTTGCAACACGACCCGACCCCGCCACACCACAAGCTATGCTGCAGCTGCACCGCCAGACTGCCCTTGCGGAAGGTCGAGTGAAGCCCCCAACACTCCCAAAGCTACGCCATATCCGAACCCGCTCAGCTCTTCCTGCAGCTTTATGCCCGTGACTCAAGCCCCATGCTGCTAAATAATGGAAAATCCATATCCGACCCAGATTGTAGATAAGATATCGTACTCCTCCCCAGGCCACCCCCAGGCCGGCCGCTCTGGCCGCACCTGGCCGCACCTAGCCCCAGCCGGAACCCAGCGAGTATCCATCCATGCATCACTCCCCAATCACAGCCTAAGCGATATCTCGCCGGGGCCTCCCAGCCTTTGCCTACTTGATCCGTCTTGATTGAAGAGCTTTCCCCAGCACGAGCCAGTACACGGGCCCTAGCTAGCGCTAGCACCACTTGCAGACCCTAGCTCCGGTTTCAGAGTCCTCGCCCACATCCCCGTTACCGACATCCCCGTGCCTGGAAGCCCCGAGTCGTCAGTCCTGGCCGCAATGCATCTTCCCAGTAGCCCAATCGCCGCATTCCCAGTTCCGCCGCATTCCCAGTTCCCTCCCATGCCCCGGCCGCCGCAGCCCCGGCTGCCCTCAGCCACCCTCAGCTTCACAGAGTAACGGACAAGACAACTCACTGAATTTCTTCTCTGAAAGAGAACCGTAGTTCGCCTCCGCATTCTGAACGGCACCCTGGTCGTTGCTGTATGTATGTCCCGCATGCGGTGGGAGAGGGGAGAGGGGGGCACGTAGGGGCAACAGGCGAGGAGGAACATAAAAGCGAGTACGGTCAAGCAGCGTGCAGCCGGCCCAGAGGGCCGGATTCGGTCGGCTCCGAAAGCACTGTGCTGCACCGGGACATCTTTAAAGGCTCTGAGGAGAAAACTTTAGTTTAAAACTCCAGGAAGGGAGACGAGCCAGGCAGACAGCTAGCTAGCCAGCCACCTTCCCCACCAACCACTAGCAACCCCGGCTCTCCCAGCTAGCCATCCGCCCCGTGTAACATACCTGAGTACGGCACGCCGGCAGGCGGTATCGTCAGCTTCCGTAGTCGTCTCCGAAGCGCACGTGAGAGCTGTGTGCGTGTTATGGACGGGGCGTGCGGAGAGTAAGGCGGAGGTGCAGCGCCATCGCTAAGTGGGGAATCACATGGTGCAAAATATATACACGATCAAGTGCCGACGTCCCAAAACGTCGGTTGTAGGGGAGAAATGCAGTTTAGCGGGGATTGCTGTACGGCATTGAAGCGGAGCTGTTTGCTCTGGGGAGGAAGCATTCCCGAGTCGCACGTGTTTCAGGTTTTGAGACGCATTGGATATATGTGCTTGGGGGGCTGGCCCCGGGGCCCCGGGGGACTCCGGGGTCCGGGCACTGCGCGCTTTGGTCTCCCTGAATGCTAGTGACGTGGAGTGCCACACAGCACCTACAGAAAGTTCTAGTTCTAGCAGCTCTTTTAGTTACATCTTGCAAGTGCGCATTCCTTGGGGCTGGTGGCCACAGCCACAACCGCAGGAACTCACTGCCCGCTGTCGCGGCAGGTCAAGGTGGCCTATCTGTGCGGGACCCCTAAAGGGGAGTGTGCCCTCCTTTTCCCCATCGACACGATCCTGGTCAGTTCCTGTCAGCTCCGGTGTAGATCATGGACGCACGCAGCCATCCAACCAGGCGCGCTTTGGACACACCGCACCTTGAGCTGGGTGGGAGGAGGAGGCAACTCCGGCCAGCAGGGCACCGGCAGTCATGGTAAACAGGCTGCGGCGACTGGGACCCACAGTGGACTCGTCCGCTGTTGCGACTTCAGCCCTGCTAGGGTCAGGGAAAGGCCAGTTTGGTGTGAGATCAGGGGTGTTGGCAGGGAATGTGGAGCTATGGAGGATGTTGATCTGCAGAATGTGGATAATGGGAAGGAACGGGGAGTTAGCAAAGAAGAAAATGGTAGCGGGAGGGAGGGATAGGGCGGAGCGCCATCACCGCTTAGGAGCAGACGCACAGATGCTTGGGCAGTTGGCGCTGGGGCAGTTTGTCGGCTATGACTGGTATTCGCGCTAGCCGTGGCTCTGCATAACCTTGCAAACGCATTGCAATACTAGCTGTGCATATAAGCACCTGCAATACACGAGTATCGCAGTTGCACCATGACGATGGTGCCCCAAGGCGAGGGTGACCACAAGCCTGGAAAATTGTGCGGTCGCCGAGTCGCGGAAACCCTCGTCGGTACTACATGATCAGATCATACGTTTAAGAGCATGCACTTTGATACGGTAGTCTACCATCACGTAAGCAAGGAATCGGCAAAATTGATCGCAGCAGTATCTTGCTTGATCATCGTGGGGCCAGTGCATCGCCGCTTGCTGCGTACCTTGATGCCGCTTGCACGCGCACGACGCGGGGTCGCCGAGCCACACGAGTCGCCCCGACGCGCAGCGCGCTGGGAGGCCGAGCCTGGAGCTGCATGATGTGGCTGATGTTTAGGTACCGCACCCAGCACTATCTCACCTCAGCGGTTGCAACGCTGCAAGACACAGTTATGGGGCTTCAACAAATATGGGGCTTCAACAAATACGTGGTGCACAACAAATCTTGAGTGGCCCACAGCGGCCGTACGACGTTTTGCCCGTACATCAGCTTAGAACAGGCCGAAGACAGGTTCCAAAGAAACAATTATGGTCCCAATTGATGGATGCTGGTGGACAACCTTGAGGCCTTAGAGTGAAATAACTCCTCTTTGAACCATGGCAACATATTCAGTTATCAGCAAAGCCCAATTAGATAAAATTAGAGAAAAGGTACACGCGTCTATCATTTGTATGTTGTCTCATATTACAACGAGACGAATATCGAAAACTTACTCGCCATGCAACCCCTTACAGGTAGCTTCACCCAGCCCAGATGTCTCTGCGGAAGAACGTAAACGACTTAAGGAGCTCAGTGATGCAAGGTCTGCACAATGGCCAAACACATTGTCGGTAGGTGGTGGGCATTGCTCTGGGGCCGCGGTCCTTTACCGCTTGATCTATACCTATAATGAATATCCTCGTTGTCCAGGCACAACGGGCCCGAAAAGAAAAAACAAGGCAGGAGCGTCTTGCAGCCGAGGAAGCTGAGCGTGTAGAGGTGGGTCACCGTCCGAGGGAACTCTTCCCAGCTTGAACATATGGGAGCGTTAATGGCTGACATACCTTTGGGGGACATGGGACAAGGCACGCCACGGTTTGTCCCTATATGGCTTCGGACATGGCCATGGCTAACAGTTGCGGTGGGCCCTCACATCCTCCACGTCCCATCCCGCGCAATCCTCGTATGCAGCTCGATCGACAAGAGGCAGAGCTGCGAGCAGAGCAGCGGCGCATACAGATTGAGCGCGCGAACAAAATCCTGTTCGACGAGACGGACCGGGTCAAAGGCTTCCACAGCAAAATGCTCCTCAGCGATGTGCTGCACGAGAACGAGCAGCTCCTGGAGGTCAAGCGCCAAATTGAGGTGCTTAAAAAAGCGCAGGATCAGGCATTCGTGGAGCAGCAACGACAAGCGCTGGAGGTGGGTCAGGTTTCGAAAGTTTCGGGGCGTATCGCGTTGTACGGTGGCAACAAAAACCGGTTCCTTCGCTTTGGAAGCCGCATCCGCTGCCGCTAACGCATGCTTGGTGCACGTTGATCTGGGTCACAAAAAAAACACTACGTGCGCGAAAGTGGGGCCCCCAGCACAGCCCAAAGCCAGCTGGGTTGCGAGTCGATTTGCTAGCTGGCATCCAAAGAAGGCAGGCGAGCAATGAAGAGAAACTACCTAGCCGCCGAGGTGAACGGGAAGCCTTATGGAAGCAGAAAAAGAATGGAAACCGTGGTTCAGGCAGGGGAAGACGTGAAGAAAGTCCCGGTGAAGCTCCCGCGGGTGCAGGGCTGAGGCTCTTGAACCCCTAGGTCTCTGGGAGTGTGCCGGTAAGTCCTACCTGTCCACGCCGCGGCAAGGAACTACAAAACAGGTGCGCTGCATGCTGATGGCATGTCGTGTGGCGCACAGTATGCTTCGAAACTTCGACACTTCGACCCCCCCCCCCAAAAAGGCACGGAAAAGCACGGAAGCTCAGTGCACACCACGCACGTGTAAATGAGGCAGATGAGTGCCTTGCGAAGTGAATGGCGCCGCAGAAGTCCGGACGAGAAGCACATGATCGCTGCTGTTGCTACACGTCGGGACATCAGGGATTGGTGCAAAGGCGGTCATAACTCGTAATAGCAGGACCTCTGGGCCGCGTGACTGGACTGCAGTCTTAGAGTCTTCGCATGGCCTGGCTTCTTGCCTGGGCCCTTCTCGCCCGGTCTGGTCCGCAGCCCGGGGCCCCCGCTTGCAGCCCGCATTGGCATCCTGCAGCCCTAAAGCGCCAGCCACTCGGTAGCCCTGCTTAGCCTAACTTGGGCTGGCCTGGGCCAAACTGCTCATCGCACCATCATCACCACCAGCAGCAGCTCGACCGCACCAAGTCAGCTGTGTGTGCGTGTGTTTCAGAAAATGAGCCGCGGGAAGGGAGTGCTGAAGTTGCCAAACGGGACTGTGTGTGTATGCGTGCGCGTGCCTGTCTGTGCGTGTGCGCCTGTCTCTCCGCTTTTGTGTGTGTGCGCGCGTGTGTGTGTGTGTGTGTGTGTGTGTGCGCGCGCCGGCTTACGAAGGGGAGTTATGGAAGCCGCTGACCGTTACGGGCGGCATCTAGCTGGCGGTTACACGTGCGCTACGTTTGCGCGCCATCCAAAGAAAACGGGATGGGATGCTTGGAAGAAGTATCCCTGTGACTGTGCAGGATCGATTAGAGGGGGCTCAGGAGCTCACCCCTACTGAACCCTCATCTCGGACCCCAGACCCCAGAACACATGCACTTGCTCGCGCACACGCATACAGGTAGCCGAGGCAGCGGAGCTCAAGAAGCTCGAGGAGGCTCGGCGACGTGCTATGGCCCAGCGTGAGGCCCAACTGGCCCAACTAGAGGACCTGAAGACCAAGATCTTGTCGGAGCGGGCGGAGGACAAGCGGGAAGGGGAGATGCTGAAGAAGAAGGCCATGGAGGAGGTGAGGGGCTGGGGGCGGGAGAGGGAAGGAAGGGTGGGATGGCTGTGGGGATGAAGGACAGCCGAACGGACCCTGAGGGGCGGGAAGGGAAGGGAAGGGCGGGAGGGGCAGCAGGCAGGGTGGCCGGAGGTGTTTGTAGGGAGGGTTTGATAGGCGACTGGGGAAAGTGGGGCAGCAGGTGTGTGTGGGGGGGTTATCTGGAAGGCAGCAGTGACAGCATCGGCGGCGGTTGCAGCGGCAACGGCGGTACAGAGCCTGCTGGCACGGATTGCGACTGCCGCCGCCACCACCCTATCACCACCCTATCACCGCCACCCCGGGATGCACAGGCGGACGAGATGCGCGCCAAGGAGGCGGCGCGTTCGGCCAAGGCCCGGCAGCTCAACGAGGAGACCCGGGCGGCCAATACGGCGCTGCAGGCCTTCAGGTTGAAGGAGGCCGAGCGAGCCAAGGAGCAGGAGCTGGCAATTGAAGGTAGGGGGGCCCCCCGGGCGGGCGTGTGAGTGGTATGAAGGATGTGCGGGCTTTGGGTGGATGGGCGGCGCGGTGGCTTACGTTGGCTCGCCCGTAAGTACATCCGTATGTCTGCGCGCGTGCGTGCACTCTGTGTGGCTCCGCTTACCGAATCTGCTGTCTGTGTGTCGATCTGTGTGTCGATCTGTGTGTCGGTCTGTGTGTCTGTCTCTTACATGTGTTCCAACAGTTCGTTCACAATCCATACAACCCGCCTACTACTTTATGCCGACCTCACCAAGCAGCAACCGAAACCCAAACACCCCTCCCCATGCAGCGTACGCGAAAAAGAAGGCTGAAATTGCGGAGGAGCGCGCCCGGAGAGAGGCAGAGAAAAGGGCGGCGAAGGAGGCGGAGAAGAAGCGGCTGGCGGATAGTATGGAGGTGAGGAAGGGCGTGCGGCGAGGGAAGGCAGGCAGGGAAATGGGTTCAGGGTTTATGATTGGCCGAGGCCAGGACGAAAGGGGTGCCCCAGGGTAGGGGGAGCCGCGCGCTGTGCACGGAGCGGCAACCCACCAGGCGGTCAGCCAGCAGGCCGTCCCAAAACGACCAAGGGAGCTAGCGGAGGAGAGCCCCATGACCGGGAGCCGGACTAGGGCCAGGCCCGGAGAGGGGCAGCTCAGGGAAGGAAGGGAGCACCGGGCCGCCGGCCCAGGGGGGGAAAGCCCCACACGCGAGCGGCTCTGAAAACACTTGCTCCAAGTTTTTGCGTCGAGTTGCTTATCGGAAAGTTGTTGTACATGTGAAGAGTGATACCTAGGGGGTATTGCTAGCCGGTCCAGATTAGAGGTGGTCAGGACGTAGCGCGACTGGACAGGACTGGAACTGGTCCTTGCGCAGCCAGGCGACAGCCAACACACCACACAGGCTTGGTGAACGTGCGAGCCCTCCACCGCCGCTGACCCCTCCTCGCTCCCGACCCGTAGGACAACTATCGGCAATGGCACGCCAAGGAGGAGGCCCGTGTGGCTCGTGATGTGGCAGAGGCAGACGCCAAGGCCGCCGCAGACGCGGAGGCACGGCGCAAGAAGGCCGCGGACCTCGCCGCCGCCATCGACTCCTCCCGGCAGGCACAGCTGCGTGCCAAGGCGCAAGCCAAGGCGGCGGAGAGGGCGGAGGAGGCCGAGTACGTGGCGTCTTGGCGCAACCGCTCGGCGGCGCTGCAGCAGGAAGAGGACGAGGAGAAGTTGCGGCGGTTGGCGGTTGGCAAGCAACTGGCTGCGTTTCAGTTGCGCCAGGCGGCCATCAAGGCGCGCAAGATGGCGGATGCGCGCATTGCGGAGATGCAGGAGGCTGCGCAGTTGGCACTTAGCGTGCAGGAGGAGGAGGAGATCTTCTTGCGGTACGCTGCGGAGTGCATTGAGGAGTACCGGCGGCAGGGCAAGCCCACGAAGCCAATGGAGCTCCACTTGCGCAAGAAGACCACCATTGAGACGATGCAGTAGCGGCGGAGGTGCTGGGCAGGCAGGAGGGCCTGCGGGGGGAGGGCCTGCGGGGGGGAGGGCCTGCGGGGGGGAGGGCCTGCGGTGGAGGGCCTGCGGGGGGAGGGCCTGCAGCATGTGTGGGTGGGCGGGTGGGGGGTAAGACGAACTACTGGCGAATGGAGCAGAAACCAAAGACAGACAGGGGGCTGGGGAGGGCTTCCCGGGATGTCTGTTGGCACCGCACATATACACACACACAGGGGGGGAAGAAGAAGAGGAGGGGGGTTGAAGGAGGGGGGAAAAGACCGGATCTGTGCGCGTCCTTGCGTGTGCGAGGCCGTTGCTTGCATGGCCCGGGGCGGACGGTCGGTGGCATGGAGGAGACAGGCGGGCCGCGGATTGAGTCAAATCCCCGTGTTTATTTGACGCCGGAAGGACCCCCAAGTTATGTAGACCATGCGTGAACGTGATGTCTGTGCATATGTGTGTATATCTGTACAGCACCGAGTGCAGAATTAGTTATAGCCATGGAGGGAGAGGATGGAAGAAGGGAGGAAGGGAAGTCGAAATCCCTGTTTATCGTACGTTTGTAGTGCGTACACCGTACACTGACAAGTTCGCCAGCTGGGTACAGCTAGAGCGGGCGGTTGAATAAGCCGGTAAGTGTGGGGTATGTGTCGGGGGGGGGGAGTAGCGGGTAGGGAGCCCCGCACGCGCATCGAGACTGCATCTCATCGCAGCGAAGGGAACGTGCCTCGCCGTACTGACGCCACCTCCGTCGTTACCCTTTCGCGGCCCTCGAGAGCCGCTGCCGGTTCGAACCTGAGCGGACCTGAGGGGAAGGGCATATGTGCCTGCGGGGTTGGACAGGAAGACTGGTCTGGGCAGAGTCGCAGGTGGTGGTTCATAGCTTGTCGTATTGACGTACGTACGTACGCGCATTTTCTTGCAGCTTACGTTGTGCCATGCGATCATGTGGGCTGTGTTTTGAACGGCAGTGAGGATAGCTCTGCAGCGGCGGCGTGGGGCGTGCGGAATGGCGGGTGAAGTGTTTCCACGAAGCTGCCTCAGGCACAAGGGGACTAACGTGAGGTTGAGGAGGTGGAATGGGGGCCGGAGGCGGTGATTAGGGTCGAGAAGCGCGTGACAGATTTGCGACAATGGTATACGGCGCTGCGCGGAGGTGGTAGCAACGGTGGGGGCGGTACAGCGGGGGATTGGGTGGGTGGGGGTCTAGGGGCGCGTCCTGGGCTAGGCTGGGCGCTGTGATGTCAGGTCACCTCGCCTCTGCGCCTGCCGGCGCCTGTGTGGCGCGTGATGTGAAGCGAATGAATGAATTTCATATGGATGTCTGGATGGATACGTCTTTAGGGTGCTCAATGATGATCGCGAGTTCATTTGACGGGGACTTTGGCTGGTCAGATGACACAGACACACATACGCACACACGCCTCCGCATACCTTTTGGTTTTCACACGGACAGAGCCGCCGCCGCAGCAGCAAAAGCAGTGCTAGCTATAGTGAGGAGGACAGACATGCACACATTATTACGCAGATATAGCCGTCGGGATGGGTTTGCTTTTACTCTTGCACGCATTTTTCTTTAAGGCGGTGGTGTAGGCCAGCGGAGGATACAAAAGGTGGACGGGGTGCGTGGAGGTTAGGAAACACGGCAACGCTGGCAGTCAAGGGCGGACTGATCGAGAGTATTGTCGCTGCCGCCGGGCCGCCGGGCATCATCGCCGCCATGCATGGTTGCGGCAGCGATGGCGTACGTAACGCTGTTGTGCTTGGTACGTATCTATTAGGATTTTGTTTGACCTGTTGGGGCGTGCTGGTGTCGTACATTAGAAAGAGGAGGCAGCCGCATTGGGCGTCCCGACCGTGGACTACTAGACCTTTCCTTGGAGAAGGTGAAATTTATCGTACCATGTACGGCGTTGTAAGGGGGGCACGCCTCGCGCGTGCATGCATATGCACAGCAATACGGAACGAGAGACTTCATCCTCGCTGCGGGGGCCTCCCTTCCATCCTAAAGGCTCGGGCAGGCAAGTTACAAGCAGGGGGAAACACGCGGCGCGAGGTATGTACACGCACGCGCACGCATATACACACGCACGTGCACGCGACCGGATCGTTTAGGTCCGCGGGGGGGACACTGTCGTGCATCTCCTCTCGGCAAGAGCAGCCTGACAGCGGAAAGCTTTCAGGGCCGCCCGACGCCGACAACAAGTGCTTGTGAATACTTGTAATTACAAGATGCATGCATGCGTATGCGTCATCAACAAACCAGCCAGGCAAGGTGAGGCAAACTTGAGGCTTAAGGACACCACAAAGTACCCAGATAACGATGCCTAACAGTTAACAAAACGTGAATGCCACCCGGCGGACCCCGGCAATTGGGCCACCTTCCCCCTCTCTCGCCAGCCCGGCCTAAAACCCGGGACGAGGGAGCTTCAAGACACGGCCCACATGCTGCCCGCAAGGGACAACTGTCTGAGCGTCCGCAGGAGTGTTAATATCAAACGTCATTGTTGTAGTGCATCTATCAATGCAGTGGATAAATTGCGGAGTAAGCACAGTTGTCCTGGGCAGTTTGATACTCATTGGATTAGCGTTACGGCAAGGGTAATGGACCCTCGGATGCACCAACCAACCTCGTGCATGCGAACGTGGGCGAGCGTATTAACTTCCAATCGGATGCGTGAGGTGGACTCCTGGGTAGACAGCCGAGGGAGGTGGACAGCGCCGACTCCGAAGCAACGCGTCCCCAGGCGGCCACCGCTCGCGAGGATGAGCGTTCATTTGCCGCAACCACCGGAGATCATTTTTGAAAAAAATAAAAGACATTTTGTTGCCATTCAATCACTGACAGTTCAGCGGTTGGAGTTCATGGAGCAGTGATCATAAGTTGTTGGGCCTGCAGCTGTTCCGCCGCTTCCGTTTGTTCGCTGTTTCCCTACGCCAGCAGAGCTGCATCAGGACGCATCCGCCGTTCGTTTACACAGGTGTACCTTGTCCTAACAGTCCGCCACCGCCGTCTGTGCGCAATTGGAGGATTGATGCTGCGTAACTGCAAGCGTGGCATGCGCGAAGCTAACACGAATCTTCAGCGGATTCGAAACAGATAATGTCGTATGTAGAGGCTTGCTTTCCCTCATAACTTGACCGAGTTAAGTAAGGCAAGCAGGTCCTCCAGAAAAGCAAGCACAATTTCTATCATAAAGCGCAGCAGCTGCTGCATACCGCCTCGCTCGGTCAAGACTGCGTGCCGCTACTGTGCGCACGCGCAGAGTGCTTGTCCCTTGCGTTGTCAGCTTCTCATATATACATACATATTTGCTGCGCCCTTCGTATCAGGAGTCCCAGTCGAGGACTTGTCTTTCACAAGGACTTATCACTCCGTGGACAGCACTAGCCCGCCAGAGCAGCAGGCGATAATATTAAGAAAAAGCGAGGCGAGTCCATCACGGCAAATAAAATAAATACATTCTTGGCCCTAGCTACCTTGCTTGATCTTTTCTGCTGCCAAAAAGACTTGTTTCGACACGGAGGCACGCACCTAGGTCTCTCAGCAGGTCCGCCGCTAATGACCAGCAGCCAGCTATCCGAGTGACTTGTCGGTAAAATTTACAAATATCTACAAGCAACTTGCGTAACACATCTATCGCTTGGTCTGAATCCCATGCGTGGGCAGGTACCGCACGCAGCGACTTTACAAGCTTGTTTCAGAGGCTTTCATAGCCAGCAACAGCAGCCATGCAAACGCCGACGGTTAGCCTTTTCATCAACGGACGGTGGACCTCCGGCAAGCTGCCGCTGGTGCAGCGCCTCGGAGGTGTCTTACTGCTACTGATGACCACTGCACCGCTGCTCGGAACTTTGCAGCTGAAAAACGGTATGTTGTTGCCTTCACTAGGGCATTCAAGCGCGTAAAAATGATTATTGTTATCACATCGCAATTCACATGTTGCGCACCAGCACCAGCAGCAGCAGCAGGTACGTGCATGAATCTTACAATATTTCCCGATACCGGGACCTCACGCACCCCCACGACGATTCCCAGGTGACGGACGTACAGCAAAACGAAGATGTACGACAAACAACTAATGGAACCACTCACTTTGCTTTCCAAAGGACAGTTTCATTATAAGACCAGCATAAGACAGCAGACCTGTACAGCAGGGCGGGGTTTCCTAATAAAGCAAGGAGAATCAATGGACTGCCTGCTGCGCTGCGCTGCTCTGCGTGCTGTGAAACGCACACACACACACACACACACATCCTCGTTCGCGCATACTAAGCCATACTATGCGTACCTAGAAGGGCGGTGAGAGTCCCTAATAAGGGTATTCTCCAATCAACGATCCCCGGGAAGTCCCAAGGCAGCGAGTATACTGTAGGCAAAGAGCACGTGTACCGCCAGGCAAAGAGTACTCACGGGACATGCCGTGGGGAGCTGATCCCTTCTTACATATACACCTCCTAAGCATTTCTTTTATTTTCAGTTGACCAGTCCATCCGATGCTTCTTATACATTCGTTAGTGATGTACAAGTGTGGTTTGTCCGTGCATCGCGTAGTCCATGCATGCATCCATCTACCCTGTCCCTGTCTGCAGCCGGAGCTTTGGCGCAACAGCAGACGCCGCCGACTACTGCTACACGGGGGCCCTTGAGCAGCGTCACCAGCGGCGGACTCCAGTCGCCGTTACAACTTGTACTGCTGGATCCGGAGTCAGCACCGCCGCCAATCGCCAATGTCTCCACGGGTCCTGATGAGGTGTGTATGTATGTGTGTGTATGTATGTATGTGTGTATGTGTGTATGTGTGTATGTGTGTATGTATGTATGTATGTATGTATGTATGTATGTTATTACAGGGTGGTTAACTTCGCCAGCGGCCCCCTTTCCCGGGGCAGTCCCTGCTCTCCCCTGCTAGAGGGGCACCCTAATCCGTCACCCCATCCGACTTCAGAATGTATTCGTTGGGTTCGGCAACTCACCACCAGCATCCAACCAAATCTAGCGGATCAACGGCGCATCAACTTAGTTCCTGGTCAGCTCGCAAGTTGATATTATCACGTCCTACACCGTCCATATGATGGGGGGCCACCTCCCATTTCATCACTCCTCAAATACCCGAGGAGCTGGCAGGCGGATTTGAACCCGGGTCGACTGGATCGACTGGGAGCAGAAGTCAGGCCTTACCTTCTGCCAGCCGCCTGCCTTATATGTATGTATGTATGTATGTATGTATGTATGTATGTATGTATGTATGTATGTATGTATGTATGTATGTATGTATGTATGTATGTATGTATGTATGTATGTATGTATGTATGTATGTATGTATGTATGTATGTATGTATGTATGTATGTATGTATGTATGTATGTATGTATGTATGTATGTATGTATGTATGTATGTATGTATGTATGTGCATGTGTGCGTATGCATGCACATTCGCATGCCGGTTTGAACTCGTACATGTGTGCATGAGCTAGATAGGTAAAGCGGCCATGTCAGGTCATCGATACTCATCGTTTGGTAGCATCACCTCATCATAAATAGCAGGGTGGGGAAATGTGCTGACCTGAGGACAGCAACGTGTCCGGAAGCGGTTATATATATATTCCTCGAGACACATCATCCGTACATACATACATCCGTTCGTGATCGTATCACCTGCGAAACCGATGCACACACGCATTTGTGTGTACTGTACTGGTGCTGGGCAATGCATTGCAGGGCACCGTCAAGAGTGGAACGCCAAATGTGAGTGATGATCCCCGTCAATCCCAACTGTGCGTGATGAGATAGCTATTACGAGCAGGCAGACATCGGCAAACGCTTCGGGAGTTTCGGGTCGTACCGAAACTCCCGAAAACAGAAATAGAGTTCCCGAAGCCGGCCGGCTTGCAGAAATAGGATCATACGACCAAAATCCGCGGTCAATGATGAAGAACAGCTCGCGGGCCATTGTTTTACTGGAAGACGGAAATAGACCCGTTCCCGAAACCAGAAATACCCCGTTTGCCGATGTGTGAGAGCAGGTCAGGATAACTATCGGTTTCCGTTGGATCGCCCTTTCGGTTTCCGTTAGGTAGCCCTTTCGGTTTCCGTTAGGTAGCCCTTTCGGTTTCCGTTGGACAGCCCGGCTTACACGAATTTATATGGATGTCTGCTGTAAGTGGATGCCTGAAGTTCTAAAGATGTTGAAAAGCGCGGTAGATGTCGGTATTGGGACTGGTAGCTCGGCAGCAGCAAGGGAGGGAAACACTTCGTACATGGTACGGCGCCACCCGGCCTTAGATAGCATCATCATTACGGCGCCATGCAATTCAACCCAGCCAATCGCCCGGTGATGATGCTGGGCGACCACATAACGTCTTTGTCTTTATAACATTGTTATCGTCTCTATCGAATACACCAGCACGGCACGAACTAGAGAAGATCAAAACCTTTACAGACGGGATCGGTACAGGTTGCTGTATGCCGGCCGGTCACGTTCCCTACCTCCATTAGTGCTTAGTACCCCCTATTACACTCTGCCCCGGCCCTCCATTGCACTGCTATTGGCCGCGGTCCCCCGCCACACGCCGCGCTGCTCACGGATGGTAGTACCTAGTCAACTTGGTGGCCATCCTGACAGTTCACGATGGATACTGGGGCGATTGGAAGGTGAGGATTGGCGGCACGCACTACTCTAATGTACTGTTGTAGTGTTAGTAGTGTTAGTAGTGTTGATACAGCACCGATGGAACACCAAAGTATGTATTAGCGAGAGTGAGTCGACTTGCTTTACTACTTTTTCGTCACATACACTCTCCTGCTGCTGTTGGCGACATCATATCTTTGTTCAAGCGGATTTATGAACCTTGCCGACATCTCCAGCACACACTGCGCCTGCTGACAGAATGCTGCTGAAGCTGTTGCTGTTGCTGAAGCTGCTGCTACTGCTGCTACTGCTGTTGCTGCTGCTGCTGCCGCTGCCCTTCAGACCCCTGCTATTTGCAAGATGCCGACACCATATCCAAATCTGTATGAGGGTCGGGCGTTGACAGGCTTCCAGCTGCGGAGCGAGCCCCCCCAGGGCACTGGAGACGACACAGCTCTCAACGGACTCAGGTGTGTGGGCCTGAGATTCACATCCATCGTTGCCCCGGCGCCTGCATGCCCTAGCTAGGAGGCCTACTGCATGTCCATACATGACAAGCCAGCAGGTGCTTATTGAGTGATATCCTCATAGTGAGGGGGAGGTGTGGCCACTTGTCGTGCCATAGGTAGGCTTGCTGGGAACGCACGCATTTGTGTCATCCTTGTCAGCACCGATTCTGCTGGGCAGCTCGACGGAATACGGACGTAATACAAACCCCCGACTGTACTGATGATGTAATTAATACCTGTCTGTACAGGATACGGTGTTCGTTCGGGCCCTCGATGCTGTCGGTGACCGATGGCCTGTGGGGCGCCTGGTACCCCTCGAGCTCCATCATCAGTTGCCCGTCAAACACCTACATCATCGGCGCTCGGATGCAGGTGGAGCCGAAGCAGGGCAGCAGCGGCGACGGTAAGAGCGCGTGTGCAGTATCGCACTACTACATGCACAAAGCTCTCAACATGCGGGAACACGTGCACTGTATGAGATGTCATTGGCCAGGAGAAGAGAGGATCAGGGAATATCTTGGTGTGTATGTGTGTGTTTGTGAAGCCGTGCCCATCCTTTTCACAGAGACGGGATTCATGCACGGCAGGTTTCTAGAAGTTTTCTTGGGTAGCTGCCTTACCGCTTAGAGGTCGTACAGACGGAGGGTACCTGCAGGCAGGAAAATTGTTCCGCGTTGTTGCTTCCGTGGGAGGGGGCGAGCCTCCTGGTTACCGAGCGACTCTGCTGACTAACTGACCAACAACTATTTACTTGACTACAAAGATAGCTGCAGCTAAACAGCGGGCTGGCAATAGTAGGTTTGTTATTCGTTGCTCCTATCTACGCCGCCGTTCTATCTCCGTCAGCAGACAGAATCCCAATCTACCTCAACCTGGCGGGCTCTAACTGGCGATCAGCACTACAGCCGTACATGACCGGCAACGGTGTCCTGTTACCACGGGCCTTATCGACGGAAAAAGCCATCTTTTCAGCAAACAGGCTTGTAAATGACAGCTTACAAATTCGATGGAATTGCGGTCGGGGCATACCGGGGCATAAGAGACGTAAATCGAGGATCGTCCAAACAGATTTTCGTCATCATCAGTGGGGTCCTATCAGTCCGCCCCCGGCTGATTAGAGACAGTACTGTGCCGCCGCCACGGTTATCAAATGCACAGCGCGAGATGTGCGCCTGATGACTGTGCTTGACGGCTCGTAGGTTGAACTAAACATCCAATCACGGGTGCCACTGGACGGTTTCGGGAGACAGCGGCAGGCAACACGGATTTGATTTGGGTCGCAAGCGTGTGAAGTTTTCATATGCCTGCGTGGACATAATGCTGCTGGTGTCCGTTAGCAACTCCCAACCCCTTTGTCTCATCGCCGGCCCCTTAATGCACGGCGAGATTAATGGTCCTGAAAGTCAATTTTGCTTTGTACAACGGGTCTTAGGGGATTAGGGGATCGGTGCCGCATGCGTTGTAATGCAGCGGAACATTGGGGAGGAATAAATTGCTTGAGGGTTAGCGCTGCTAGCTAGCTAGCTAGCTGGGGCGCCGCTGCTGGCTTACATGCAACTGTACGTATCTTTTGACACGGATGAGCGTGTGTGTGTTCCGTGTATATGTGTCCGCCACCGTGCTCCCAGCTGCTGCACCATGCACCCCCTGCCGCCCCGCCAACAACGTACTCGCACTCACCACGCCCGCCGCCGCAGACACTGCGGCCAATGCAATCGAGTTCATGTGCGGGAGCATCACCACAGTTCCCACCGAAATCCGTGTGAACAGTTTGCCTACAAGCTGGGGAGCGTGAGTGCATGGTTATGTATGTATGCATGTATGCATGTATGTGTTGCCGATTGCCGAAGGATGAGCGAGATGGGTAGAGGAAGGGTGTGTGTGGAAAATTATCAGCCCGCGAGGAGAGGGAGGAGAGGGAGGGCGGTGATGGCACACTAGCGGGGCACACTGCTATGTCGACTACTAGACCACGTAGATGGATGGATACTCAGCGGCCTGATGGCAGGAATGCCTAGGTCACTGCCGTCTATCTGGCCGGGGAGCACGGTGCAGGATAGCGAGCAACATAACATAACATGAATACAGCATAAATGGTTGAGCTAAAGCTGTCTGCTTGTATATACGCGTCTGCCTGCGTTTCGGTCTAAGTCTACTAGCATGATTTATGGCTGGCGGCTCTAAACAACGTAATATGTTAACGTGCGCCTGTGTGCAGATGGACACCCTGGGTTCAATGCCCGCTCGGCACACGTGTGTGTGGGGCTCAAGCTCGCTTCGAGTCGTCTCAGGTAAGATTGAGGTCGATGCCGATATGTATGTGTGTGTATATATATGTGTGTGTATATATATATGTGTGTGTATATATATGTGTGTGTATATATGTGTGTATATATGTGTGTGTGAGGGGGGGGGAACTGGTGGGATTATGTTCCTTCATTCCTTAACAAGTAATGTTAAAGTAAAGGTACAAGTAAAAGTAAAGGGCTGGAACGGGCGAGGGATGTGAGACGACGGGGAAGTTGGTTGAGGTTGGTTGCTAGTTAGGTAGGGAGCAAATGACCGATGGATTGGAGTGTTCGTACTTTAGTTCGTCTGTTTGCTGCGTACCATAAAAAAACAGAAGTTAGTGGTGACCAGAGGGGATGTGGTGCATGTATGGAGGAATCATGAAACACACAGCGAGTATGTGCGTATGTATGTATATACATGTTTATGCGCGTCCTAGTACCTATTACCGTGATAAACGTACATGCATGTCTAGCCATCGATTGCTCGCTACGCACACCTTTCAACCCTTGGTCGTGCCACCCTATACAACAGGTGTCGTACATGCATTAAGTGCTCTGATTTTGTCGCCATTCGCGCATAATGCCCAACCAACCAACCAACCAAGCAACCACCTAACCATCTCATCAACTAACAGGCATGCATCTCAATAGATGTTTAAATTCAAACTGACGGTATGTATGTCCCCCGCAGGGTAGTGGCGACGACACGGCTTTCAACGGTAAGTGAATGCAGCGAGCGTGGAGTCTACAAATGTACGGCTGGGGGGAAATACATATACAGCTCAAAAGTTAGGGCTAGTACGAAGCACCAGCAGCAGGTACGTTTCAGCGGCAGCGGCGGCGGTGGCGGCGGCGGCGGCGGCGGCTCCTCATCAGCAGATGTCCAAGAAACAAAGAAATTAGCACCACCGCGCGCTGACCAGCAGCGGTAATGAGTGGGATACGAGTACCCACATCTATAAATGCAAGAAGCAATAATGCAACAAGCTACAGCTAATCGATTGATTAATGTTCCAGAGTGGGAAGCTAGCTAGAAGCGCTTCTGGGCCGATTGCGCGCATTAGGGTACCGATCTGGAATTGGACACCCTTAGGGATTTCGCAATGCGGGTAAAGGGTAGTTATCTGGCTGGGGCTTCAAACCAGCTGGTGCTGCTGCCGCGTTGTCTGTCCCCGTATGACTAAGGTAGGTAGCGCACCTGCTGTATGTCGGTTCTGTGACGACGTCCAGAAAGGTGTCTCAAATCACGACGTCTGAAAAGTACCAATCGCCGATCGGCGGACGTCCGTCAGATCCCGTGATGATGATGATGATGATGATGATGATGATGATGATGATGATGATGATGATGATGATGATGATGATGATGATGATGATGATGATGATGATGATGATGATGATGATGATGATGATGATGATGATGATGATGATGATGATGATGATGATGATGATGATGATGATGATGATGATGATGATGATGATGATGATGATGATGATGATGATGATGATGATGATGATGATGATGATGATGATGATGATGATGATGATGATGATGATGATGATGATGATGATGATGATGATGATGATGATGATGATGATGATGATGATGATGATGATGATGATGATGATGATGATGATGATGATGATGATGATGATGATGATGATGATGATGATGATGATGATACGCCCGCCAGGATACTCCAAAATATGTTGGAGCAAATTATAAAGCCCCCCCCCCAGTAGCTGTCGGGGGGTCACTGCTAGCTGCGACCTTACAGATGTTCCTTAGGGCACACCAAGCCATGTACTCCTGTATGTATATCTTCTGTTGTGGAGAGCCAACCAACATGCAATCTTCACAGCAGGTACCAACAACCGCCATTCGGAGATAGAACTCCTAGTTATTATTCCTGCCTGCCTACCTACCCCCTACCTACCTACCCCCCTACCTACCTACCTACCTACCTACCTACCTACCTACCCCCCTACCTACCTGCCTACCTACCTTACCTATCTACCTACCTACCTACCTACCTACCTACCTACCTACCTACCTACCTACCTACCTACCTTCCTGCCTACCTACCTACCTACCTACCTACCTACCCACCTTCCTGCCTACCTACCTACCTACCTACCCACCTTCCTGCCTACCTACCTACCTACCTACCTTCCTGCCTACCTACCTACCTGCCTACCTACCTACCTTCCTGCCTACCTACCTATCTACCTACCTACCTGCCTACCTACCTACCTGCCTACCTACCTACCTACCTACCTACCCCCCTACCTACCTGCCTACCTACCTTCCTGCCTACCTACCTACCTGCCTACCTACCTTCCTGCCTACCTACCTTCCTGCCTACCTACATGACTATCACTCGCCTATCTACCTACCTACCTACATACATACAACCCCCAGGGCTGCGTCTCCTGTGCTGCTACATCGACTGCTAGGCAGCAGCAGGAGGCGGCGGCTGCTGTTGCGTGCGGATATTTACTTAGCTGGCTAGTCAGGGAGGCGCCATCGTATCCGTCACGGCGGCATTCATGCATGCACACAAGAAGTGTGTAGGGCTGCTGCCAGTGCATGATGAAATAGTTGTTGTATGTTACAGTTTGTGTGTGTGTGTGTGTGTGTTACGTGGTCGTGGGGTGCGTTCCGCGTACCTGCAAAACGCCCCAATACGAGCCGAGGGCTCGAGGGTTGCCAGCGCCTATAAGCACCATCCTACCCCGGACTGGGTTTGTGTATTATATGGTTTTGTGTATTTGCACGCGCACGCGCAGCACGCGCACGCGCACGCGCAGCAAATACTTGCTTATGCGGAGGGACACGTGCGATGGATACATGATAAGGACATTATTGGCATACATACATAAATACATATCATAGCATACATAGGGCTGCTGCAGGCGGGCGCACGCACGCGCACTCAATCGGTCTCCTTTAAAACGCAACATGCATGATGTTGTTACAGGGTGGTATAGCTTCACCAGCGGCCCCCTTTCCCTTGGAGGCAGTTCCCTGCTCTCCCCTGCTAGAGGGGCACCCTAATCCATTCACCCCATCCGACTTCAAAATGTATTCGTTGGGTTCAGCAACTCACCACGTTGGTTGCTGGTGCACCAGCAACCAACTAAATCTAGCGGATCAACGGCGCCACAACTTGCGTGTATGCATGTGCGGTGGATGGACGATTGTTGGCGATAGACTGCGGACGGTCATGAAGCGAACCTATATATATATATATATATACTACTACTCGGCCATGCCATGTATACTACTATACGCCCGTGCAAGAAGAAGCAAGCCTCATGATGGGCCGTTTGAATGCATCAAATGTTTGCATGCATATATGTACGGCTTTTTTTAGCGCACGTACATGTACGTACATGTACGTACATACCGGTTGGGCACGCAGGGATGAGTAGAATGCAGTTCGTCCTCTCTTCAATCTACAAACAATGTATCTAGATAGATAATAAGCGTGCCCACATATGTAATCGGCCGCAACCGTTTATGACGTACATGACTGTCGCCTTCCTAGCTACCGTCGAGAACCAGTAGCAGCTTGGTTACTAATCCGGTATTATAATGTGGACGATTTGAGTTTCGTCATACAATAGGCTGCCTAAGCTATTAGAATTTAACACTTCAAGATTTTCGTTCGGTGTATTCCGCCCTGCTGGGTGCAGCTGCGTGCCCCGATGAGATAGCTTCTGCTAAGTGGTGTGGTGCTGCTTCTGTTCGTCCATCTAGGCCGTTAGTAGTCCGGTAGTCCGTGTAACACGAGCCATCGGCGCCGCCCGTTGCCTTCCGGACTGACGACTGGGTTCAGTGCGTGACAGCCATCCGCCGCGCAGCTGCAGCTGCTGGTGCTCCGCCTCTTATCCGCTGTCCGTTGTCCTTCCTGCCGTACTGCTCATTGCGCAACCTCACCTCGCTATCTATCTGGTGCAGCCGCACATATATGGATAACATGTGCACCGCTGGATGTATGCATGTATGTATGTATGTATGTGGTCGGTCTTGAGCTGTATGTGGCGTGATTGGGTCATTATTGGTGGGGGGGTTTTGGTGCCGGGTATACCACCATAAGCATCGTAACCCATGCAGCCTACAACATTCTTAATCGTTAAAATTCCTTTTGCTAGCTGGAATTACGAAATAAGGGAGAATACAGGGACTATACACACACATGAATCCGCGCCGCCACCTCCGTGCTGCCACCTACCTACCTACCTACCTACCTACCTACCTACCTACCTACCTACCTACCTACCTACCTACCTACCTACCTACCTACCTACCTACCTACAACGAGAACTCCTCGACAGCGAGCTCTCCCTTCTTGCTGTGTCCTAGATACAGCAGGAGTACGTATCGCCAGCAGGCGAACGAGACTTGACGATTGAATGAATTAGTGAGTGAGTGAATGAGTGAGTGAGTGAATGAGTGAATTGACGTTACATACGGCACTGTCTGGATCGTGACTAGGCAGCAGATTCAGCATCAAAGCTAAAGCTGCCACAGCCGCGAGCCAGCAACAGGGAGCAACATTCGCCATATTGCAAATCACTATTAGTATTCCGTGTGCATTCAGGATCTCTTTGTTTCTATCTCCCCACTCCCCACCTGCTGCTGCTTCAACTGCTGCTGCTGCTGCTGCTGCTGTTGCTGCCTCCCTCATATTCCCGTTCCCGTGTGTATGTGCATCCCGGGTTCGCTCCCACAAACCCTCTGGTGATTTCCATCCCCTACACCCACACTCGCACACATACATACATACAGCCGTACGCAGCCCAAAGTAGCCCCTTCCCATCCAGGGGCTATTAGGTGTATTTCAGTTCGGGGCTTGGATCACTATCCCGCCATCAACATCATCATCATCATCAGCAGCAGCAGCAGGACCTCCGTCAGCCAGCCAAAATCACAATGTACATACATAAGTACGGGCATACAGACGTTCAGGTATACATGCATACGTACAGAGAGACACGCGCACAGACACACTCGCAAAGAGACACGTGGTATATGCACCGCGCTAATACCCCCCAACCCCCCAACCCCACCACCCACCCCCCCACACACACAGGCACATGCACACAGGACTTTTCACGTTGAGGCGGGGAAGGGTCGTGTCAGTGGGTGCAACCGTGGGGGTCTAGGGGGAGGAGGGGAACGGAACGGCGAGGTAGCTTTTCTGGAATTAGCGCAAGGGCTAAACATATTTTCCCTCCCCTACCAAAGGAGGAGGACCGCCAGGCGGCCACGATGCTGCGGCGTGTCGGGTTGTGCACAAGGATTAGGACGGGGATGGTCCCCCGGGTATCTGGGTTACCCCCCAAAACACGCCCATATGCCGGTGTGGTCAACAGTGCTGTTACGCTAATAAAAAGAACACATCACATATATACATACATACATACATAGACACACGCACCCACAGATAGATTCACAAACACCCACGCAGCACCCATATCCATTCATTGGCTTACATACATACATACTTCATACTTGTGAGGCAGAGATGGAGCATTCGTTTGTTGCTCTATCTCCACCTTTGGGTGTCAAAAAGGGGAAACCTTTGGGTTTTTATCCCCAAAGGGAGAGACAACCCAAAAGGGAGCCCTTCGTTTTCTTCCCCTAAAGGGGAACCGGACATCTCTTTCGTACTCGCCGTACTTGTCCTCGCTGCTGTCGGGGCTTTGATTACTGCCAGTTGCCGCGGCCACAACGGCACGGCACCTCCCCCTTCCCTTCCCTTCCCCCTTAGCAAGCTGCCTCTCTCGCGCCGAGCATAAAACATTGCACGACAACTGTACAGTCTCTCCGTACACATTAGTCCCGTACACCGTACACAAATACCCACGTCCATTTCCCCCTCATTTATACGCATCCAGGAACGCCTTGTAGCCGTAACCCCCCCTGGAGACAACCGCACCGGACCGAGCTCGGGAACCCCCCGCCCCTG